CATGCCTTTCAAGTGGGAAGTGAATCTAAACAGCCTCAATGAAAATTCAAACTTTCAATTTTCTTTGCTTATAACTATCACACAATCCTATATCTACATACATACATACATACATACATACATACACACGTAATGTTGTCAGAGTTGTGTGTCCTCGTGTGTGTCGGGGGGGTTAGCAGATGAGAAGTCTCTGCACTGAAAGAGAAAATGTATTTCGAAATATATGGAAAAATATGATTCGTTTTAACTTCTGGTCATATCTTTTGTTTTTTAATCTTATATAGAAGTTAGTTGGTTGATTTATTTTCTATGGATTATCTACCCTTTGCAGGTTATTTAAAGCCAGAAAATATTTTTTAGATTGCAGTAATGTGTTTTGGAGATAATAATGGTTTAGTGATAAAAGTCTTACTAATTAACCCATAGCTGAGGGGAGAAGTGGATTTATACCTTTCCCAAGGGTATTTGTACATAATTGAATATAACAAACCTGACAGGAATTGAAACGTTACTCTCTACTCTCTGATTTCCAATTCCAAGACATTATCCATTACACCACCCACACATCCAAGCGTACAGCACCTGGTATTCCCAAGCAGTCGCCCATTGACCACACTCGACATAGCTTAACTTTGGTGATTGTACAGGGACTGCTGTTTCAACATGGTGTGACTGTAAGCATTTAAATAGTAGTATATACATATATATATATATATATGCACACACACACAGGAGTATGTGTAGGTAAAATCTTTGAGTCATTAATTTAATTTCATGTCTCTTCAGGATGTAGGTGATCATGGCTATCCACTATTTCCTTTTCTTTATCTGTTAATTATCGCAGTTGGTCCTTAGAAAATAGTGGAGTGCTTTCCTGTTACCTTCTTTAGTTTTGAATTCAGAGCAGTCTCTCTTAAACTGTCTACCCTGTTATTTAACCCATAGCTGAGGGGTGATGTAATGGATTCATTCTTTCCAAAGGCATTTGTACAAAAGTCAGTGCAACTGATTAAGTTGGAATTTAGAATTTTTTGATTGCACTATTCATGCTTAACTATGACATTACACTGAGATTCTTTGAGTCAGGAAAAAAATGAATACTGCTCTGCTCACCTACAATCTGTTACTTAAAAGTTCTGGGAATTTCAAATAGAAATGATCAACATGTTCATTAGTTATCCGATGTTTTCCATGTCTTGTTGGACATTTTACACATTTTGAAATCACTCTACCAGAAAAAAAAAAATTTTAAATGTTATTTCCTATTAGTTTCTCTTTTTAAGGGAACCTGTTTAAGTTTTACAAAAAACTTTGTGAGTTTGTTTGTATACAGCTGAGCTTCCATATATTTAATTTCACTCACACTGAATTAAAGCTTTAAAATTATATTTGTAGAAATTTGATTTTAGAAGTTTATCTCTTCTTATCTTAGGGGCTTTATGATAATGACTGGTTCTATTTTTTTCTTCTTTATTTACCGAAGTTGTGTATTTTTATCCTGTTTGTTATTGTCACAAGATTATTTTTATCTCTTTTCATTTGACAGTCAATAAGCCAAACTTGTATGCACAGAAAATTTATTGAAATTCTGATGACTTAATCATTAAAAAAATCTGTTGCTGGTTTTAGATAAAAACATTTGGAGTTGAACAATTGGTACCGTGACAAGAAATAATCAGTTATTTTGTTTGTTTTTTTCATTTGTTTTTTCTTCTATTACTCTACATTAGCTTTCCAGACTACACACACACACACACACACACACACATTTCGATCCTGGCTTGAAGTAATCAGATGTCTCGCCACAAGCTGTGATACAGCGGAACAGTCTGTCTGTGGATGACCCGTATATATATATATATATATATATATATATATATATATATATATATATATATAATTAACTGATTGAAAATATGGGTTTTTTTCGCTACACAGTAGCTAAAAACATTAAATTTAATTATATAATCAAATTAAAAGCATTAGTTCTGTTTCATCTTCAAGCGAATATTGGAATAACTTATTTTTAAATTTACGCACATATAAATTCATAATTTCCTGTTTCCAAGGATACAGAGAAATCCAATCATTCATACGGGGGCGGTAGCATGTTCATTTTTATTAACTATTGTTACGTTCGAAAAAGAGGTTAAGTTTAGGGAGGGTAGGGTTTTATTTTTCAACGAATTCTGACATCCGTTAAATGCATGTCGTCTGGGGGTTTTTTTATTAACGGCAAAAAGTTTTTTGGCATTTTTTTGTACTTGTATACTTGAAGATTTTTTTTAGGTTTGTTTGTGTTAGAATACATTTTATTTAACTACAATTTTAAAATATTTTTACTCTTAATTACTAAATAGACTATATTTCTTTTTAAAAACAAGTGTAATAGAATTACTTACATTATTTAATTTTTTTTTTTCTATCAAATATATGTATATTGCCAGCTCCCATTTTTTAATTTTATTTTTAAATATTATTTAAGGAACATTTTTGACAATGACAGCAAAAAATAGCTATTTCATTTCTTTGATTCAGTAAATTTTTATTTTTTATAAACTTAGTAATATATAGTTTCTCATGTATGCACAAAGGACATGAGTCATTTAATGACCTACATATTCTAGTTTTTGTTGTTAATTTCCATTTTACTGTAGGTGTTTTATTTGATTCTTTTAAGTGCCAGAAATATTTTGAAAGCAATGTCTGATTTCATGTATTCATTTATCCTAAATGAAGTTTGGTGTTGATTGAAATGCTTTTTGAACTCGTATAATTATTTATTTAAAAATATGGTTCCTCTGCTACACAAGAGTTCTCATGTTTCAAAAAAAAGAGTTGAAAACTTCAATATAATTATTAGAATTAAATTGAATTAAAGTACCAAGCTCTGTTTCCTCTTCAAGTGAAATTTTTGGTACTTTAATTCAATTTAAGGGGGGGGGGTCACTGAAAGTAGGTTACATACATTAAGGGGTAGTTAACATGGATAGGAGAGGAAGACAATAGTTAATTCTAGTTCAGGTTAAGATTGTAGTGATTGGAGAATCATCCTGTTGGGATTCTGTTCCACAAAGCAGTGGTTCACAAGTGGTTTAAATGGAACTTACTTCTCACTGACAAAATATAGAAGGAATGTGGGTGGATTGCTACTATGCAAGTGGGTCCTAGCTTTGAAAGTTAGATCTGGCGAAACCAAGGAATGTAGTTTGTCTGAACATTTTCCATGGAAGTAGCAATATGGCAGTGAGAGACTTGCCACATCCTGCCTGTGTGAGAGAGAGTGGTTCAAGTGTCAAAAAGAATTCTTCTCCAACAAGGACTTGGAGATGCTCTTGAACTCTGTCAAAACTGCAAAATGAAGTCTGCACAGCTTCTGCCCAAATATGCTAACAGTACTCCATTTCTGGCCTGATCTTGCTCTTATAAAGGAAGAGGATAACATGAGGAGTCGAGTACTTACTTGAGCGGTACAAGGAATTGATCATTTTAACATCTTTAAACAGACTTACCCATAAACATTCTTTTCTCAAAGTCATTCAAACCTGCTCTATAATATAAGCTGACCAACACCCCCCCCCCGAAAAAAAAATAACTCCAAAGTTAGACTATAATCCACAGCAGAGGTTCTGCACAGTTTTTTCTAACAATAAAAACGTTTACAGATATTGACTTATTTTGTCTATTTATATCTAGATCAGGGTTTCCAAAAATTTTTCCTCACCAAATTTTATGTGAGAAAAAGTACATTTAAAAATAAAAAAAAAGGAAAAACAGAGAGGATTAAAGGGAGATAACTGCAGATTCGAAGTCAGAACATTATCATTGATAACTCTCTCCTCCAATTTGCAGACCCTAGTTACTATATTCTTAATACTTGATATAATGCAAAAATTTTACAATGATAAAATCTGTCAATAATTATTTATAACTATTTATACTGGGACCCATGCATGCAATTATAAGTAATCCATAATAATATTTTAAATTTTGAAATCCTATTTATTTTTGGCATATGAATTTTTGGAAACTGTTTCTAAATCTTTGATTGTTTTAGAATCATTCTGCCTCACCTGCTATACTGTTCAGCTGCACTTTTTGAAGACCACTACTTTCAATGCAGTGTTTTTTTTTTTGTTTTTGTTTGTTTGTTTGTTTTTTTTAACAATAAAAATGTGTTTGCAAATATGACTTATTTTGTCTATTTCCCTAAATTAACCAAAAATAAAAACCTTTTTTCTAATTTAATATGTATGAAACTTTAGGACTATCTCTGTCCCATAATAGTTGTTCCATTTACATCTACATTTCATTTCACTAAATGTAACAATTATTCTGGGACAGAATAATTGTTACATTTTATAAATAAAATAGAATTTTATTTATTATAGATTGTTTAATTGTATGATTTAAAATTGTTTGCAATTGTGACATCCTAGAAAATTATCATCAAAGCCACTGTACTCAGTTGACTCATCAGACTCTTAACAAGTCCCTAATGTACATCAACAGATTTCTTTTTAATAAACACAGCCATCTGTTGAAAGAATCAAGGTGATGGGATTGAAAATCTGAGAAACTTATCTATTTTATCTTCATTGAACATTTTCTCATTGTATTTTGATTACTATAGTTTGACCAGTTCACACTCCAACCATCTTCAGGTGTAATATTAATCTCTGGTTAGTCTGATCTATGAGTTGTTCTTGCTGAAAAAAAGCATAAAAAAAACATGTAAGCTATTTTCTTGAAAGTCTCTTCGAAATGATTGGGTATGGATATACTTTGTGAAGTTTTAACATCAAATCGGTTATTACAACCTTATCAAAATGGCAAGATGCTAGTCTGTATAGTTTAAGGAAAAAAGAATATTTCATTTCAGAATTTGAGACAATTGAGGAACTATCAAAACAACAAAGATGAGGATACCAGTTTAAATAATAATCTCAGCATTTCAGAAAACACTTGATTAATCATTTATTTTTTTTTTTTTTCTTTAGTTATGCTTTTTTCCATGCAACACGGAAAACGCTCAGTAATGTCAAATCTTCTATTTCCGCTGAATGGACTTCAGATGGTTTTTTCCCAAATGCTTCAGTTTGGCTTTTACCCAATGAAGTAAGTATTTTTACTTTATTTCTACTTCTAAAAATCTAGTCTGAGAAAACATGAATTCGTTTCCTCTTTGGCTTTTACAAGTATATTTTATTTTTCATGGATGTGTTGAAATATCAGTTTTGTCTGGCATATTATTATATGATTTTTTTAATAAGTGATATGCAAACAAAGAAAATTCTATCTAGTCATATCTGTTTAGATTTACCTGTCTACAACAGGTGACCTTTGTAACCTAATTGGTAAAACAGCTGTCACCATAAGACAGGCTCATGCGGATAAGCAATTTGAGTTAGTCTTGCTGGATATTTGCTCATTATTTCCTGTCCTTATTGCTTACAAACAATTGTGAAATAGCAATCCAGGAGGACAGATAAAAAGCAATTGAAATTAAGATGAAAGAAAGAAGAAATAATAACAATAACAATAATAATAATGATAACAATAGCAACAATAATGATAACAACAACAATGATGATGATATTAAATATAGATAAATAAAAAAAAAAAATCAGAACTGACAATGCTTCATCAAAAAAATTCAGTTTGGGGCCTTTTTTTTTTTTTTTTTTTTTTTTAATACCCTTGATGAAATGATTGCCAAATATCAATTTTATTTCAGACATGGAATCGACGTCATATTTTCGAAGGTCAGACAAAAGCTGATCCCTTTCTGGGCTATTTGGACACTGGATTTATGTTAGCTTATTCTTTGGTAAGGCTTATCTTCCTTTTTACTTGCACGTGAAAAATTTGTTTTGTCATGTGAAATTTGACTCTCTTTGTTTTGTTTTTGTTAATCAATAAGAATTAAACACAAAGTACATATTCCAATTGAATTTGTTTATAAATATTTTCTTTTTCTTTGTTGATTTGTTTACATAAACTTGTTTTTTTTGTTTTTGTTTTTTTTATTATAAACTTAAAAGAAAATAATTTCAGCAAGTAATTTTTTTTCTTTTCTTTTCTGCAAGTAAGTTGACTTGCCTTTTGTGATCCAACACTCCATCATCCACTCATAATAGTATTAATAAATTAGTAAAACAAATATGTCAGTCAGTAAAATAGCTTTGAAACTCTAAACCCTTAGAAATAAATATAATGGCTGAATCTCCTATTTACATATTTCTGTGAGTAGTTCTTGCACTTCCCAAATGTGAAACTCCCTTCCTCTTACTTGCTTCCCTTAAAACTACAATCTTTAAAAATTTAAATGCAGCCTCAACTGCCATCTTCTGTTGACTTGACCCCTGTTCATCTTTTATCCATTCCTCAATCCGCTCTATACTGAGTCTTTTCACTTTCTTTAACCCTCTGCATACTAATGGCACTACCACCTTCCTTAGGGTAATTTACTTTTTAAAAAAAATAAATTTTTTTGTGTCAGTATAAAGCTGGATCCAGTTCTGTCGTAAGTGTCATTTGTTATCATATTGTAAAATGAGGACCTAACTCAGGAGTTACAAACATGTGGCCATTTTTCTGTGGGTCATAGGGAAGCATTTTCATAACCAAAATTTTCCTCAAATTTTAATAAGTTTAAATAAATTTGTCCCTTATACATTCCATACTATTGAAGTTGCAATACTGAGATTCAATAATATATATTATATATATATATATATATATATATATATATATATATATATATATATATATATAATGATAGATAGATAGAACATTAATTTGAAGAAAGTTTTCAGGTAGACTTTAGGCTAGTGAAAAGTAAAAATACTGTAAATAATTGATGAATATTATTACTTCTATTGTTCTATATATTCAACCAGCATGTGTAAATATATTGACTATTAAGAGTTAATAGATTTAAACCTTGAAAATGGCTAAATGTATAGCGGAAAACACTCGGATAAAAAGAACATTTGGTCAGTTTTTATACACTTTATCATCTGAAAAGAAAAAAAAATTATTAGATCACATGAGAAATTGTATAAAAATCTAAATCAAAGCACCTTGTTGGTTGGATTCAATAAAATGTGCATGAAAGAAGGATTTCTGCCTAAATACACACACACACAAATTATATATATATATATATATATATATATATATATATATATATATATATATATATAATCAGTTAAAAAAACAAAAAAACAACCTTGATTATAGCTAATAGATTAGCCAAAAGTGCTTGGATTTTTACACACTGTCTAGAAAAGAAATCACTACAAGAAAACTTTTATAAAAAATAGTGCAATATAAGATCATTAATTTAGTACAAAATTTTTTTAAAATACCATATCACTGGTAACACCACCAGCCTTAAAAAAAATTCCTTACAAGTGGTGTCCATCAGTTAGTATGGTTCGTTCTAGTTTCTCTCTAGGGAAGGGAAGAAAGCACAACATCTCTAACACCATGTTACCTGACAAAAGTGTATAAATATGCTTTGCAACATTTTTTACTTTTTTCTTTTTTTTTTTTTTTTTTTTTTTTTTAAATCTTATAAGAAATGAATTTGACAACTCCTACTAGAGAAAGCAGAAATAAGTATTGAATTTTTACATATAAGATTTGAAGATTGTAATTTTCAGAGAAGCAAGTAAGAGGAAGGGAAAAAAATTACCAGCAATAAAAATCTTGTCAGCATTAAATAACCCATTGAGATTGATGTGCCATAAAACAAAACAAACCTTCCCATTCTAAGTTCAAATAAAACAAAACCTCTCACCACTTGATAATTGTCAAATTTATTACATTAATGTGGCACAGTTGAATGTAGATACTCATTACTTGACATACAACTCAACAGATTTCCTATTAACTCACTGAACCCATAGAAATTTCATGTTGGCAACCAAGACGTTCTATCCTTTCTTCTTGCCCTTTGTATCTTCTCATTCCTTCCCTTATCCCTTCCAATCTTCATTGCTTCTCTGGTAGACATTTTATTACTAATATATTCAAGCACTCATGTTAATAATTGTAAAGTATTTATTTATTTTAAAAAATATTCTTTCTCTGATAAAATTGTTTTGTATTTCTCAATGTTAAGATATGATTAAAATCTATTTTAAATACTTTTAATTTTGAAATAAATATGTTGATAGCTTTCTAAAGTATTTTTAATGAGAATTGGATTTGTCTATTTTTAATGAGAATTGGATTTGTTTATTTTAAATTAATATTTGTGTATCTTTTTTTTTTCTTACAGGGTTTATTTTATTCAGGTTCACTTGGAGACAAGTAAGTAAATCTACAATTCTTTCTTTATTAGTCACTATTAGTCTAATAATGTGACTATTAGTCACTATTAGACAGATTTTATTCCTATGTCAGCCTTTTAGCGCTTACACATGCACAAATACACAACTTTTTCTAACTTTATGATTTTTTTCTAACTAAATGCTCAGTTGATTTATACTTTTTATACTCATGTTCTGTAATGATTAGCCATGTTTTCTTGTCACAGCTGCTTACAAAAAAATCGAACTGTCTAAAAGCAATGATAGCTTTTATTAATTTCTTGTCAAAGGAAATCCATAAACAGGTAATACTTCATGTAAGAAATTCAAACCACATAAGATGAACAGTTCGTATCACTGCTATGTGATAGGAACTGAATAAAATGGTCTGAAGAGAGTTGTTGGTATATAACTAGATTTGGCTCCCAGGATATGGGTGAGAGTTCAAGTCCTTTCATAGGCTATTTTGGAATTTCTGATTCATACAGCTTACTATTTTGTACTATAGTCCTCATCTTTCTCGCCATGTTTATCACGTTTTGGCCGTTGTATGCTCTGGCCTTCATCAGGTGGTTGGAATATCGAACTGAACCCTTTATTTTGCTCACTGGGGTAGACTGTTCTAGTTCCACATGCCATGTCTAATGGATGTCAGTTATCTCCTGTTAATTCCCCTCTGAAAGTTCTCCACTGCCTTAACCAGGTATTGAACTCGCACTCTTTGTCACTGTCCTGTCACTGGATCTAACTAACGCCTTTATCCACTGTGCCATGGGTCCTTGAGAACATGGCAACAAAGATGAGGACAATAGTCCAAATAATGTACATAATACCTCATCTCGGAAATATAGACTCATACTGCTTACTTCAACACTTGTAAAAAGTACCAAGTAGTCCATCATAATTAAAATGAGCATCAATAACATGAAAGAAAATCCAAGAAACTTAAACACAGCATGAAATATTATGCATATATATTTATTATTTACCTTTTTTATAAAGAAAGAAATTTAAAAAGAAATATCTATTCAAAAATTTATAAAAAAAAATTACAAAATTATCAAAATATGTAAATCAACTACAATGCAATATTTATTATTAACCATTTAAAAATAATTATGAAACACTTTTTTTATTCAAAGTAATAAATTATGTTTAACGTCTTTGTTGGCAATTCTCAAAAATAAAGAAAATGTATAAATCCATTTTTGTATGTTTTGGGTTTTATTAAAATTCTAATGATTTTTTAAAAACAAATATTGCTGAAGGAGTCAAAAGTGTATACAGTAATAGTGGTGTTAAGGGAATAACCATCCTTTTAACACTTTTTTTTTTTTTTTTTTTTTTTTTTGCAGGCACAAAGGTTAAACATTGCCAAAAAAGAACTTATTTGAATATTGATTATTTGAGTCTCAATTTGTTTTTTTTTCCTCTTTTCTATTTATAGATTTTCTTTGAAAAAAGTTTTATCATTTGGAATGATCACGAGTGGCATTGTCGTAAGTATTTCTATATAATAAAGTATTTTATGAATATTTTTGTGCCAATCCATTTATTAAATAATTTGAAGTAATATACAAATTACATATTCAGTTCATATCAACTTCAACCTGAAAGAAGTTTCCTTTTTCAATTCCTTGTTATTGCTTTTAACCATTTGAAAAAAGTTCTAACACATGCCTGCAAAAGTTTTCCTAATTTATACCCCAACTTTTTTTTTTTTTTTTTTTTTTTTTTTGCAGGTATATTTCTTTGGAAGTTTCACAGAATTTAAACACTATTATTATCCATCTTTGTACGTTGTTCTTATTGTCCTAAATGGTTTTTGTCAATCTGTTGGGTGGCCAACAGTTATTGCTATCATGGGCAACTGGTTTGGTAAAACAAGGTAACGACCTCTTTTTCTTTCTCGTTTTTTTTTTTTATCTTTGGTTTTTTTTATCTTTTTTTTTTTTTTTATCTTTTTTTTTTTTATCTTTTTCTTTTTTATCTTTTTCTTTTTTATCTTTTTCTTTTTTATCTTTTTCTTTTTTATCTTTTTCTTTTTTTTCAATTCATTTTGACTTTTTGAATTTTTGATTTTATTTTAGCCTGATTTGATGAAATCAAATTCTAAATCCTGCCTTTTTGGTATTGAACTTGGGAAATCCTAGTTCAACAATGATATCAATAGAATATCTCTAGATACGAAATCATAGGTGTGTGCAAAAATTCCCACCCCCTCTCTCTTTCGTTCTTTCTTTCTTTCTTTTTATTTTTCTTTCTTTTTTTTTTTTTTTTAAATCTTTTTAAATTGGATATTTTAAAAATGAAAATGCAGGAAAATTTTTGCATCCCCTTCTTCTTTGTGTCATATTGCTTCAAGATGTTGGGAATCATGCCTCTCCACAGCTTCCTATCTTTCATAGTCTTAATAAATTTTGTCTTTTTGTTATATCTCATAAACCTTGTACCACCATCCATTTACTCAAGCTTACTAAGTATGTTATGTATTGTTTGCCTTTGTCCCATGAGTATCAGATTTTCCAAGCCCTCTTTCCTCATTATGTGCTTTAGAAATTTCAACTGTCTCTTCCTGATAAATATGTTTGTTTTTTGGGGTTCTTTGTCCTATTTCTCTAAAATTTTTGTGCTCACATATTCAGTCTATCGTATTCTCAAAAGCCTTCTGTAGAATTACATTTCTGTTGCTTCAAATCTCTTCATCTTTGAGATTATCAAGCATTTAGTACCATATAAAAGGACAGATATCATGTAGCAGTTTATTACTCTTAATGGTACTTTAAAGAAAATGAATTTCATCAAATCATTAATTTACAAGATAATAACTTTGCTCACAAATGATGGTCACTTTATTTTGTTAAGCAAACAAAACCTAATCAACTTTTACTGCTGAAGCTGATAATTTTATGAATCAAAGACTTGCTTCTTTACAAGTATCCAATTTGTCCAAGACCCTCAGTGTCACTCTGCCACTCTTCCTGTTGTTAGGAGCAGAGAAAGGTCCCTGCTGTTCTTCATGTCTGTCAGGGATAACCTTTGGTATCTTTGCTGCAATTGATAAAGAAAAAATAAATCTTCATCTTTCTCTTTGTACGTAATATCTACTGCGAAATGCGTTCTCGGTTCTCATCAACATAGAACAACCTCATTCAATAACCCTTTGCTTTGAGTGGCTCTTGAGTCTTTTACTATATGAAGAATTGTAAAAAAAGAAACCCCCGAAAAACAAGGGATCATTCACAAACTGTCTCTGACACATCTGAATGTATTCAGATTGAACCTTTTCATACTTCTCCCAAATATCATGACTTTGTGCCAGCCTAAAAAGCTAGTAAAGTATTTAACCTTTTATAGTGTAGAGTTCTAGCATTTACTAAGCTTAAATTTTATCAATTGCAATGTGACTAAGAATCTCTAATAATAAATGATCTCTCTCTCTCTCTCTCTCTCTGTGAGAGAGAGAGAATCTCCCATCCTCTATCTTAAAAACATCTTGAAAGAGGCCGTTTGACCAACACAAGGACTAACCAAAATTAACAATAAAAAAAAACAAATGAAAACCACAGAAAAAGTTCACTTTCTTCAGAAACAGTCATTCACTCCTGTACTTAACTGCTACTAACAAGCAGGGATTTCTTTTCTCCTGATGATGGCCATGCTGTAATAAACTAGTTGAGGAACCTAATTGAAATAATAAAACAAAAAAATATTAATATACAATCCAGTCTGTCTGAAAATTTTAATTAATTAATTTTTTAATATTTTTATTGTTCAAAACATATATAAAAACCCATGATGTCAACAAGTAAGGTTTATGAATCTTTGTTTCATTCTAAGGTTTACTTTTATAGTCCTACAGTAAATACTAAACATATTTATAGGGAGTAAGCATATGACAAAATGTCTATAGTACTTTTAGTGTTATAATAATTGTACTTATATGTACTTGATAGGTGAATTTCTTATCTATTTTCTGCTCAAAAACTTTTGCAAAATACTAACCTCAGAATATGGCTAGAGTACAGACAGTTTGTTTTTTTCTTTTTTCTGCTGTACTCACAGAAGAATTTGTAATAGCACACTAATGGTAAATATGAGTCTTGGTATAAGGGGTCAGGAGATAATTCCTATGGCAGCAAATAAATACAAATCTTCTGAATAACACTTATGCTTAAAAGTAGAATTTGATGATTTAACTTTGGAATTTTTTAATTAAAATTTTTTGTAGAATTTTTCAACACTCAATCTGTATATTTTGTGTATAATAAAAAATGCAGAAAAAAATAAGAATTTTGAGTGACTATGAATTAAAACAAGCATTGCTGACAGAAAACAAATATTTATATGATTTTACTATAAAAATGCATGTCAGATGATTTTATTATAAACAAAAGAAAATGCATTGAAAATCAAAAGGAAAGGATTATTAGTCAGAAGTTAATATAAGCATTACTGACAGAATAGGTATACTTATCTGCATCCATTTCCCTGTAATAAAAATAGGTATACTTATCTGCATCCATTTCCCTGTAATAAAAACAAAATTTTTATTGTTGTTTAATTTTTTCTTTTTAGCCGAGGATTTATCTTGGGATTATGGAGTTCATGTGCTTCCGTTGGCAACATCCTTGGTGCTTTAATTACTGCAGCAGTTCTTCCAAATGGATATGAAGTAAGTCTGAAAATAATCTTTCTTTTTAGCTTTGTCTTTCTTGTATACAGATTTTTCTAATATACTAGCTTAAAAGCCAATCTACTGGGTGCCATTTAAGCTAGCTCCTGTGGAGGACTCTTCATTCGGCCTTCATCACAATAGGTGGGGAAGTGTAGATGTGATAGGCAATAATAAACTACAGAAGAACTCAAAATTGTTCACTGCATTTAAGTATTGCATTAATATTTATGCTTAACTTTTAAAAGTTCAGCGATAATTCTTCTACTGCCACTTAATTTAAAGACAATTTGCAAAGTGCGGTGCTCGATGGCAGGCCAGCTATTTTTTCTTCTTTGGAAATGGATCGCGTGGCACGCTTTCTCAGCCATTACACTGGGTAGTTGTGAAATAGACACCAACCCAGCCTCGCCTACTTTGACTTCCTCTTTGTCTGTCTGTCATTCTGTACATCCAGCTGTATTGCATGCTGTCCACCGAATGACTTCGGTTCAGTCGTGCTGCTGACACTCCGCTTTTTATGCTATTCCAATACATCCAAAATTTGCATGTGTGCAAATATCATCTCGTTTCGGACGAGATAGGCATGCATAAATTGCGTCTTCAATAGCAGCCATATTTCTTTTTGTCATCACTTTGCAGGCAAGACATGTTTGCGCTCATTTCAAAATCTGAGGTAAATCATGTATTTTCATCACATTTATTATATAGTTTATTTATGAGGTTGCAAGATAAGAGTTATTGATTCTGGAAATGTAATCAGTAACCCAAGATCAAATTTCAGTATTGGCAGTTTGTGTTTCTTTAGCACTAATACCTTTGGAAATTGGATTGATTCCTGTAGTGAAAGAGATAATCAGGCACCCCGGAAAAAAGTTCATGTTTTGTGTGCGATCTGCCGAAGAAAAATTAGCAAAAAGTAGTCAGCAAAAATCTTATAGCGAAGAAAACGGCGACTTACCTCGTCAAACCAAGCAACAGCGCGTCGCGTGTATTCTACGATGGAAAAAGTGACAAAAAAGAAACAAGTCCGTCGCAGGAGTCACTATAACTATTTCGATATGCAAATTACGGAGCATCCTATCCCAGCTGTCGACGAATGAAAAAAATAGGTTCTGCCGATAAAAGCAGTTGGTGTTCTCGAGACGGAAAATTCGGGCATTTTTGGCTTTGGCGTTTGTTAGAGAGTGAATTATTTTTCTGACTGGTTACACGCATTGTGATTCAAGATAGTACCGGCGAATTGAGTTTTCAGCATTTCTTTCTGCCCCCGATATTCGAGTCTGTACTTACAGTGATTTTCCTTTGCTTTCAGAACGCTTACACCTACAATTCCACGTTACTAAATGGCATGATGGAAATATCTTGTCTTTTGTACGTCAGGTTAAGGACAGAACTTAGAGAAACTATATCCCCATAACTACTATTGCCTTGGTAGTAATAACTGTAAAATGTAACATCCATTGTCAACCTTGACAGCGAACAGTGTACATATGAGAGAGGGTAATTTAAGTTTAGTTTGTCTTTGTTTAGTAAACAGCTAATAATATTGCAGCCTTCAGTGAAGATTGAACTCCTTAACAATGATTTACAAGAGACTTGTATGCTACAACTTCATGAGATTAAATAAATTTGCATTGAAAAACTTTTTTTTTTTTTTTTTTTTTTTTTCCAAATTAAAATTCCTTATTAATTTTCTCCCATTTTCATTTCAGTATGCTTTTCTTCTCACTTCAACACTTCTATTTGGACTTGGTGTTGTCAACTTATTTGCACTTATTGATTCTCCTTCCGAAATTGGTAAGAATGTTTCAGATTCAGATTTCATTCACACTCAAAACTTTATTTGTTTCTTTTTTTAATTATGACCCTAAATTTAAAACTGGGGCCCATTGTAAGCATGTTTGTTTAAATAATTTAGACATATTATGCATATTTATTTTTATTTTAATCATTTCAAGTCCACAAATTAATTTCTTGATGGCCGTAGAAAATTGATCCCCTAAAGTTCCAAAACTTTTTCAAATAATTTTTTATTTTCCAAAGTATTTTCAATCTCATCTGAGCGCATCTTCAGCCATTGCATATCTAGGGATGTATTATGCATTAAGAACATAAATTCAAAATTTTTCTAACCACTATGCAAGGGAGGTAATTAATGTGATTTTTTAAAGATTTTTTTTTTTTTTTTTTTTTTCATTGTAGTATTTTAACTTAGTATTTGTTATATAACACATTGCAGCTACAAACATTCAAAAACTTTGCTATACTTGTAGTTGACTTTATTTATTTTGGGCTACAATTACAGGACTTCCAGAATGTTGTTTTTGCTTATTATTATCTTGATGGAGCACTGATATATTTTCAACTAATATCTGTCTAAACTGTGAATGTGGACATTAGTGTTCTTTAAATGTTCTGAGATTGAACTATGATCGTTCAAGTGAAAAGTAGGCCTACTTGTCATCATTGTTGTTTAAAAACAATATGCGTCATAACATTTTTATTAGAGATGCAATCTATCAAAGGACATTTAAATTGATAAGACACTAGTTGATGGAGAATAATTGTTATGGATGACTAGGTTATATTAAATTTCGTATAGTCTATAATTAATTTTTATTTTTTTTACTTTGATCAGTGGGTGATTTATTAGTCTAGCAGATTTTTTTTATTTTAAAAATATTATTTTTTCTATTGTGTCTACAATATCTAGTTTTTAAAGAGAAGTCTGTAAATGTTTTCATTTTTTTATCCCAAGTGTTTAACTGTCATGTTATTAAATTATTATTTTTATTTGTTTACTACAGAAGAGGAAGTTTATGAATACTATGTAGAAAGACCTGATGCTGAAGGTAAGAGATCTGACAGTTACACTTTTTTTTTTTTTTTTTTTTTCACTTTTTATTACTTGCATATGAAGGTTAGTCAAAATGTACTGCTTGTTCGTATTTACTTTTAAATGTATTTGTTAAAATTCTTAAAGGGTTTTTTTCTTCCCACTATAAAATAAAATGTCCAGAAGCCCTGGGGGAAACATTGTGGGGTTAGATTTTTTTTTTTTTTTTTTTTTTTGTTCTGCCCATAATTCTTCATAGCTACCCCTTTCCCTCTGTATACATGTCAACTTTACAAACTAGCAACATACAGATGTGAACACCAGGTTCAAGAAAAAGAAAACATGTAATCACTCAGATAGAAATGCACCACACAGGTGTCAATGAACCACAAACTCAGGATGAAAGTTTAAAAACAATATTATATATCAAAACAATTGAATAGGGAGAGAATGTAAGATAACAGACATAATAAGATTGACAAGAGGCACTTAATCTGATAATGGATATCACTACAATTATCCGTGAATCATGAGTTACTAAATTGAATTGTTTATAATAGTACACAGTTAAAAAGTTCTTTAGAATGTCTGAAAGAGAATCGGTAATTATTCCTTCTGCAATATAGACTTGGAGATCCTGGAATGGTACTTCTATTTCATTCCATATCGAATAATTGAAATAAATCCAAGATAACACTGGGAAGATTTCTTTGGGAATAACATTTTCTTATTCGTTACACATCTAGTAATCAAATAAGTTCATAAGCACATTTCTAATAAACGCACAACAGGGAATCAATTTATTCAAGACTTGACTTAGTCAGAGGTTTTCTATAAACTGAAAATATATTTAAAAAATCACACTTGGTGGCACATGTCACATGGGCTTTACTTATTCCATTAGGAGGTCAAACTGTCTAGTTGTTAAGCAACTCGGATTATATCCTGCTATCTCTCAGTCTAGACAGGAAATAAAGGAAGAGAAGAAAGTGTAAACACACAGAAAGCATGTTCTTTGATAGATTGATAATATATCTGATTTTAATTTAAATATTGAGGGTCATGTCACAATGTAGAAAGACAAAAGCTCTCATAGAATCTCATTTTGGAAAGAGAAAAATGCAGTAAACATTCATGGGAAATTAGTAAATGTTTATGGAAAGGCTGCACTTGAAGTAAGCACATTAGAGATTAGTCAGTGAAGTTAATGGCAATCCTAGAGATAAATAAGAAGCTGACCTTAATGATAGACCTCACAGTGGCAGGCCATCTGCTGCTGTGAATTAACAAAAGGCTTTCATTACAACTGACAGAAGCATCACTATTACAAAACTGTGTGAAAACCTTCAAGTGAGCTATGGTAGTATCTGTAGTTTAGTGCAGTTCCTTGACTGCTCAAAGGTTTATAGAAAGCGGGTTTTCAGAATGCTGACAAACTACACGAAGAGTCCTGATTTTGCACCTCATCGTTCATCTATTCTCTCAAGGTCAATAGTTCACCAATGAGGTTGAGGTGAAAAAAAAAAAAAAGCATCAAATTGCAGCTGGGTAAGAAAACACTCAAGAAGTTTTAAAGATGGCATGCATAAAATAAAGATTGATTGAGAAACAAGAAAAATATTTTGTACCCAGTGACTTGTGTTCCTTTGTCTGCTTCTACTATTAAATCTATTGTCAATTTGATTAATATGTTGTGAGTCCAGGAGAGTGACTTATTGAACCTTCTCAAACTAACATTTTCTGCTGACATGAAGTGGAAAGAGTATAATGAATCAATTACTAAGTCTGCAGATAAGAAAGTTATTTCACTGTGTCATGCTAGACAATTTTCATCACCAGAACCTGTGTTACATATTTATAAGTCTACCATTCATCTTTGCTTTGAATATTGCTGCCAAATCTGGGCTGGTGCTTCTGCTATATATTTAGACATTCTTGATGAAATCCAATAAAGAATCTGCAATGTTATTAGTCTTGACCTGGCCTCTTGGTTTCAGTCACTTACCCACTGCCATAACATAGCTTCCACCATGCCTTTTCTATAAATACTTTCATGGTAATTGTTTTGATGTACTTTCCTCTATGACTTTTCTTTTTTTAAAGTTGTTATTTTGATTCCCCACCCAGATAAATTGTACAAGTGGAAACTAGAACTTCATAGAGACCTTTTTGAGGCATTATGATGGCTATAGTAAAAAGGATAAGTAAGAATGTGTTGTTTTGGTGAAAGGAATACTGTGGTATGTTTGGGTCGGTAATTTTGGTTAGCTAAGCTCAATTATAAGACAGAAGAAGGCCAGCCTTCCCTACCCTCCCTTTTGGCCTTGTGCCAAATTTTTTTACTTTCAAAATCAATATTACTTTCCTCTATAGTACCTAGACTTTATGAATTTAAGCGCAGTACTAGATTGGTGGCAAGGTCTCATTGTTTTACAGTTGAAAGTACTAAATGTAACTATAAGTTCTATGCTAACAGTTTCTTTGCTCACACTTCTCGCTTGTGGAACTCTCTTTGGTTTTTTGATTCCCAGTGAACTTTGACCTTCAAAAATTTAAATACAATGTCAATCTTCTGTCTTAACTTTTATTCTTTTATTGTTCTCTCTCCTTAATAGTATTTTTTTTCTTGTGACTTAGTGGCTTTATTGCCTTACTTGGGGTGAAATGATTAAAAGAGATGAAAGGACAGGTGTTATTTTGGGACTAATTCTCATCTAATATTTGCCTCTTCAAAAGGGCAGATATGATACCAGATTTAATATGTGGTTCCACTCAAATTTGCATGTAAGGAGTTGTCATTATTTACCTGTGGACTCTTGTCCTCATCTTTGTTGTTATTATCTCAACATTTTGGCTATTGTGCCTTCCAGCAGGTGATATTTAACAAACTGGCCATATCTACGGTTATCTCTTCTGGTTCTTATTTAGTTACTATATTCAGTTATTGTTTACCCTGTTGCCACTGAGTCCAAATGCCCAGCGACTGCACTCACAATTACTATGTTACTAAATTCATAAAACCAGCACTTTTATCAATTAGGCTATAGTAGGTTAGTTGTATAGACAAGCATCTGAAGAAGGCTGGAGAGCACAATGGCCCGAAAGGTTGTGATAACAACAACAAAGATGAGGACAATAGTCCACATGTAAATAATGTGAATTAGTTGCAAAAGGATGTTACATTGTAGACTCAAATAAAATACATTCAAGTATTTTACTGACTGAAATAAGGATCTTGTTTCTGAAAATAAGATTAATTATACTTCAATATCCGAATCAAATTCAATTATCTCGGCTATTTGTTGATTATCAGGGTGTCCTGCTTGGTTGTAAGGGAATTTGAAGTTGGCATTGCTATCTCTTGTCTAAGTAACATTTGACAGGTTGTATTAGGTTACACAGTAGCAGCAACAGGGAGTCATCCCTGAACTGACTGAATTTTTGAACTTCATTTGGCATCTGTGCAAAACAACCTCTGCTGAAATTTGAACTTGCCATACTGCTTCCATTTTCTTTGCCATAAGCTGTTCAGCTAGCTTCGCACTTCATCACATACACACACACACACGTGGAATGATCAATAAGTTTGTAGCCTACTAAGAAAAAAAAGCATTTATTTTGCATAATAAATATTTATTCTTTAACATAATCTCTTTCAATGGATTTAATTCAAAAGTGAATATTAATTACAGATTTAACATTATAAAGTGTGAACTTAAGATCCAAATTTAACTAAGACATGGTATGTTTAGAAATGATCCAATTTAATGTTAGCCAACTCAGATCAGTGGTATCTTTGTCCTTTTCAAAATATTTATCTTGCATCCTTTCCACTTTAATAAGTCTGCAAACTCCTCTTCATCCTCCCTTTCAGTCTTTTGGAAAGGTCAAAGGTTGCAGAGAGCCAAATCTGGAATGTAGGGTGTGTGACATACCCAGGTGGTTTTGCTAAAATCCCTGCACAAAATGTAAGGAACTGGTAGTCCATATTAAAAATGATTTGGATACTTTCAAGACATTTTTTGGAATCCCTCAATTTAATTCTCACACTGTTAATTGCAGATTTCCTATTATATCAACCTGCACACATTCAGAGTTGGGTGAGGGGTGGGTTTCTGCTTGGTGAAAGTCTTCCGGAACAGAGATTGCCTTTTCAAATCTACCCTAAGCTGTTCTACAATACAAACCTCATCTCGGATAAGGTAGCATGATCTCTTCTCTTACTAAGTATGGTATGTCAAACCAAACTTCATCTTTGCATATGGCTTTCCTGTCTTTCTCATGTCTGACTTTTGACTGGTTTTCTGCATTTGCATGGGATGTTGTATGTGCAGTCTTTGGTCATTAACTTTTGGGTAAATGCAAGAGGAGATTTCTTTTACTTTTAAAAAAAAAAAAGAAAAAAAGCCCCTCCCCCACACTCATTTCAAACTGTTTACATTTGCAAAATTTATCATCTGGAATGTTGGAAAACCACCATGGAAAAAAAAAAATTAAATCAATAATTTAGCTCTTGGAATAAGACACGCATATCAATAATACGTCAAATGCATTGATTGTCTACCATAATGAGACTGACCATGATTTTGATATGAAAAAAAAAAAAAAAAAAGGTACTCTAAGAAGAAAATAATTCACTGCAATGTAAATGGCTATAGGGAGTGCCTTGATTGCAAGATCATCTACAGTAAATTTGCACCCTGGCTCTTACAACATTTCACCATTCCTAGCAGATCTTCTATCACAGTGTGGAATACCTACTTAGAAAAATGATGGAAAGTAAAAGACTATAAATGAATTCAACTAAATGAAAAGAAAAAATTCTCACCCTTCTGTTGCGTGTAGGCCTACCAACATAACAAATTTATCGTCCATTATTTACATTATTCGGACCATTGTCCTCATCTTTGTTGCCATATTACGTTTTGGCTGTTGTACACTCCGGCCTTCTGCAGGTGGTTGGAATGTCGAACTAAACTCTTTATTTCGCTCACTGGGGTAGACTGTTCTAGTTCCACATGCCATGTTTAATGGTTGTCAGTTATCAGTTATCTCCTGTTAATTTTCCCTCTGAAAGTTCTACACTGCCTTACCCAGGTATTGAACTCAAACTCTTTGGATCCTGTCATTGGATCTAACTAATGCCTTTATCCACTCAAGGACACATTGCACTGTGGAGCAATTTTTTTTTTTTTTTTTTTTTTTTTTTTTTAAATATTACCAGAAATAAATTTTTGAAGGTAAAAAAAAAAAAAAAAAAAAATTACCAGCAATAAAAAATTTTGCCAGCATTAAATAACCCACTGAGGTGTTGATATGCCATAAAACAAACCAAACAAATACTATATCACTAAATTCATAAATCAATACTCATTTTAATCTATTAGGCTATTTTAGGTTACCTGATGGATGTTACTTCAAATTTAGTATTTATATATCCATCTTAATTGTCTTCAACTTTTAATTAATGAATATAAAATTTTATTTATCTTTTTAAACAAACTCTAAAATTTCTCTTGATTTTGATATTATCTTTTTCTTTTTCCTCTGTACGCATTGTTTAGACGAATATGACTTGACACACAATTTTGGTAATAACATAGCACTGGGTATGTTTAATTTGCTACTTTCATTTCTATCTCTCATGGGACGAATCTTGCGAAAGTTCCCTCTGGAAATTCCTTTTCTTGCAGGCTCTTCAGTTGCTTCTCTCTTAACCATAGAAGAATATCTGCGGCTTTTATTTATTTACTTTTTTCTTGCCTGCTTTTAATGCTCTTTACATTTATTAACAGCATCAAATATCAAAGAACAATTGTCTGATATTAAATACACCATTTTTATAAATTCTTCCTGGAATCGGCTTTATTGAAATATCAGATATAAAAATCTTGCACTCTGTATAAAATCCGTATATAAATTGGACTTTTATATTCAACAATCAACATAATCCTTTTGGTGTGTGTTTCAATGTAAGTAATGATGATTCAGCATCCCAGATATTCAGATACAGGTGTGGTACCATTTTGATTACATGACCCGAAGAAATGAATTTGTAGATACATTTAGAAATTCTTTCGAAGTTGCATTTGTAGACACTGTTTACTGATTTAGTTGGACTTTTCTTGAATATCACAATCCTGAGAAAACTTTAAAAAAGATATACTTAAACAGTATTTTATATAAGATTAGATTGAGTTCATGGGGTAATTGTCAGAGTACTTCAAACTGACTCATTTGAGTAACACTGAGAGGTTGATAAACCATCAAATAAAATCAACCAACCAACCATTTGAGATGAATCTTTTGTAACTTAAGTTTACATTTTTGGATTTAATAAATTTAAATAATTAATTTCTATGAATTACTTCTCAGGTAAAATGCTCTTTGAATCAGAAGCTAAAAGACATTACACACCTGATATTTTTAAAAGAAAGAAAAAAAAAATGAAATATCACTTCAATATTTTTATTACTTGCATTATTTACATTATTTGTTCTGTTATCCTCATCTTCATTGTCATATTCACAACATTTCGATCGTTGTACACTCTGCCAATCTTCAGGTGAGTGGAATTTTGAACTGAACCCTTTATTTCATCCACTTTAACTCAACTCAAGTTTTTAGGTTCACTGCTGCTGTGGCCTGGTATTGAACTGACAACTCTTTGGGTTTGATCTCTGAATCTAACCAACATCTTTATCCATTGGGCCATGCCTCCTTGAGGAGACATCCGGAAGAGTCATGGTACGTGGAACTAGAACAATCTACCCTGGTGGATGAAATAAAGGGTCAGTTTGAAATTCCAATCACCTGAAGGCCGGAGCGTACAATGGCTAAAACATAGTGAATATGGCAATGAAGATGAGGATAACAGTCCAAATAATGTAAATAATGCAAGTAATCATAATACCTCATCTCAGAGATATAGACACTTATTTTCATTATATTAAAATAAGTAGTTTTAACCATTATTAAAAACATGAAAAGACATTTGACAGTAGTTTTTTTAATATCATGTTCCTTCATCAAATAATCATGACTCTCCACAAAGTACTTATCTTTATTGTTTGTGAATTGCAATGCTTTCTTAGAAAATACAATGGAAAATGTTGCCTACACTTCAGTTTTTTTTTTTTTTTTTAATTTTACTTCAAAGTAGTAGCTATCCTAAACTGGTTGCCATCCAAGGCTAAAGAAGCCCAGTGTTGATGGATGTAAAATAAATCAATTGATGTTTTTCTGAATAGCATTAGTACAAAGTGAACACAAAAGATTAGGCTGAAACTCATCTTTCCCTAATTTCATTTTTAGCACTGATAACTCTTATGTTAACTGCGCATTATCATGTACCCTAAAATTCTGACTTCAGTCACTGGTCCAAATTAATTTTATTTTGATCATTAAAAAATGCCATAGAAGTGCTAGAAATGCTAGAAATACATTCCAGTTATTCCATAATTTCCTGGAATTTAGCAATTTATTTTTTCTGTCAAATAAATTTAATCAGATGAATTTAATAATTCTGAGGAATTTTTATTCTCTGTAGATGTTAATTTATTTTAACTAAAATAAATCTTTAAAAAAATTAGTGTGCAGGCAAAGTGCAAGGTTTTTTTGTTTTTTTTTTTGTGGCCTTTTCTGCATATTTTTAACAGAAATTTAAGATCAGATGATTGATTTAAGATTTTTTAACATTTAAGCTTGATGCTGCCTTTTTAAAACTTTTTCTTTATTTTCTAAACATTTTTCATTTATATGTATATCGTGTTTTTTTTTTTTTTCTTTTTTTTCGCTATAAAGCCAAAACAAAGCATTTCCTTTTCAAATCCAACTTGTTTAGATTATTGTTATTTCTTTTTTTCTAATTTACACAAAAAAAAATCTTGGAAGAAGCAGACAAATTGAAAATAGCCGTTTGATTCTCTTAATTCCACAAGGTTTATTTTTGATTGATTTTTGCTGGGTCACATTATTTAAAGCATTCATTCCATGTGTATTGCTTTCTTGCAACACTTTGCAAATGTGGTTCACGCTTGCTTTTGTCCCAATCTCTTTACTTTAGGAGGATCTAATAATACTCGGGGAAATGATGAGCAAGGTAAGTCTCACAATACCCTCCCCAACATTGAATGTTTACTTTCACTGATTTTAATGGTTCTTTTTATTTACTGCATTCATTTAAAACAAAAAAAATACTTTCAAAATGTTTTAATTCTTTTTCACTTTCTAATATTGTTCTGTTTTTCTTTATTTTTTCTTTTCTAATTATCTGATAAAATAAGTTTTACGGTATGCTATATTTATAGATTAAAAAATGCTCAGTATCCAGGTTTAAGTCATATGCAAATATAAGTAATGTGGACACAGAGATCAAAAATGTCACCATTCGGTGTTGATCTCTGTGTCCATAATTAGATCAATCAAAAAAAAAGTCTTATTTTTTTTTGTGGGGGGGGGTTACTTGAAACATGTCTTCAATTTTCTCATAAATGGTTTTGACCATCTTTGATTAACTTTACGGTTATCTTTTGATGTTTTAACTGCAAATGGTTACATGTCTCTTTTTCTAGGTCTTATTCCTTCTTTTCTAGAATGCAGTGATTTTCTTTTTCCCTCCTCTCCTCAGACCTGCTTCTTTTTTTTTTTTTTATATGGCCTTTACTAAAACCCTCGACATGATTCTCCATAATTTTTCATACAATTTTTGCCTCATCTCACTTGTTACATTTAACAAAATATCTCGCATGTCCTTAAAATTTCTTGAACTTTAAAATCTAATCTCCTCAAATTTGTGTTTTAAAGTTTTCAGTTTGTAAGACTTTAATTAAAATCTAAATATGCATGTGAAATCCTTTATCTTTTTTCCAACTCCCCCTTTTTTTTTTAACCCCTCCCCTTTTTTTTTTTTTTCATCATTTTTAGTGGCTTATTATTTGGTGCTTTATTATTATTTGACTTTAACAATTTCTTTTTATTATTGGGCTGACTCTTTCAGATTTGTCGTCTCAACAGTTGAACAGTATATCCACCCGTTGTGTTATTGATTAAAAGCAATGATAATAGAAAGAAAAAACTAGTCAGAAAATAAGAACAATAATGAAAAAAGTTTTTATTTCTTGCTAGTAAAACCAAAATGATGGAAACAAAATCTTTTTACTGTTACTTAAAAATCGAAAACAGAAAAATGAATATAAAAAATAAAAAAAATTAAATAAATGAAAGAAGTAAAATAAAGTAAAAATCAATAAAAATAAGTAAACAAATTTAAGTAAATAATGAACAAATTATCAAACTACAGATGAACACATAAACACAAGTAAATGTAATAATAAAAATCAACAACAAATAAATAATAAATAATGATTATTTACATCATTCACACTGTCATCCTCATCTTCATTGCCATATTCAAAATATTTCGGCCATTGTACGCTCCAGCCTTCTTTGGGTGATTGAAATTCTGAACTGAACCCTTTATTTTGTCCACTGGGGTAGATTCTTCTAGTTCCACATGCCATGCCTCTTCCAGATGTCTCGGTTATTTTCCTTTAACTCACCAAGTTTTTTTTTTTTTTTTTTTTTTTTTCTTTTTTTCTTGTTCACCTCTGGTGTGGCCTGGTATTGAACTCACAACTCTTTTGGTTTAATCACTGGATTTAAGCAACATCTTTATCCACTAGGCCATGTGTCCATGAAGACATCTGTGTATGAATTTCAAAATGAAGGGTTCAGTTCAAAATTCCAGTCACCTGAAGAAGGCTGGAGCACACAACGGCCAAAATATCATGAATATGGCAATTAGGATGAGAATAACAGTTTGAATAATGTAAATAATTATAATACCTCATCTCAGAGTTATAGAGAGATAATAAATGAGTAAAAAACATTAACAAACAACACTATAAAATAGCTACAAATAGCTACATTTGAATGTATATTTTTTTTTACTCCATAGCCTCTAAAATACACCCTTGTGCAAACTGCTTTAGTTTCCTTTCTTTCACCATACGATCAGTGTTAGACCCAATGGAGTGACAGGGTGTAAACAATTTCTATTTTTTACTCAGATTAGGTCATTTGCAGTGCTGTGCAGTAGTATAGATTTATTTTCTGGGTTTATGATGAAATTTGGCCTTGAAAAATATTGCATCATCTGTGATTGCATCAGATTTTCATCATGCCCAGACGCTATTTTCTTGACTGTCAATTAGTTGTCCTATGGCCATTGTCTGTGATGAATGTTACTTCAAGGAAGTGTACAGAAATTATAACACTGCACAAACACACTAGCAAGCCTTACCAGTGAGCAAATCAAAGTACTATAGACTCTCCTGATTTAAATCCACTTGAGAATCTGTGGCCGTTCTGCCAGGAACGATATCGTGGAATGGACATATGAAGTACTAACATGTGCACTAGGTCATATTTCATTGGAAAATTACGAAAAAAGTAAATAAGAACGGAATTATTTATTTTGTTTCAATTAATTTGCACAAGGGAGTAATTGTTCCATCCACCGAATCGCCATTAGGATGATACAATAGACCTTCTACCCATAACGCACCATAGACCAGTATATTTAAATATTCAAGCCAAAGCACAATGCACATTGTCTGAAGATTGGATTAAGCATAAAACAGATTTTTGCACCTGTCCAATTCTAGGAGAAGGTAACTCTGAATTCAAAACTGACCTGGAGAAGGTTGGGCTCTGCCAGGTTATCTTGCCAAAAAAATGCCATTTCTACTGCAGCTACATTACAAGTGATGCCCCTACAACCCTGATGGGTCATAGGATTCATGATCATGATATTAATATCATTGAGGTCAAAAAGCAAGAAGTGACATAACTGTTTTATGCTTGACCACAATCTTCAGGCCTGAAGAGTGTTTTAAAGCATGAAACAGACTGTCACCACTTGGTGTTGATGTCATTGTCCACTTATATATAATGCAGTATATAAAGTCCTATCACATTTGAAGATTGAAAGACTACTTCTTTGGCTTGAATTCATTTGTTTAAACAAGAGACAAATTTCCCCTCATTATCAATGATATAATTGCATCTTTTTTGCAAATTGCTGATCTGTATAATTTTCCAGCTTTCAATGCAACAAAACCATCAATATCAGTTTTAACCACTTCACAATTAATAAACTGTTTTCTCTCTAAAAAAAGTTGCAAAAGATCTGTCTATATTTCTGAGATGAGGTATTATGTACATTATTTACATTATTCGGACTATTGTCCTCATCTTTGTTGCCATATTTATTACAATGTTTTGGCTGTTGTATGCTCCGGCCTTCTTCAGGTGGTTGGATTGTCAGATTGAACATGTTTTATTTATGCTTCACTGGGGTGTCAGACTGTTGTTAGTTCCACATGCCATGTTTTTTAATGGATGTCAGTTATCAGTTATCTCCTAATTTCCCTCTGAAAGTTCTCCACTGCCTTAACCGAGTATTGAACTCACCTGTCACTGGATCTAACCAACACCTTTGTGGAACTAGAACAGTCTACCCCAGTGAGCGAAATAAAGGGTTCAGTTCAACATTCCAATGACCTGAAGAAGGCCGGAGCATACAACGGCTGAAACGTTGCTATAAATATAGCGACAAAGATGAGGACAGTAGTCCAAATAATGTAAATAAAGTTGCAAAAGAGCTGAAAAAATGATACTCAGATGGAGCAATGTCAGGAGCATAAGGCAAAATTCTCCACCCCCCCCCTCCCTCCTTTTTTTTTTTTTTTTCTCTCTCATAATCAGTCTCATAATCAATGACTTGGACAACATGTTTTTCCTGTAAATTTTTCCAATTCATGTTTCTTGGCATTAGCTGTTTTATTTTGGTTTAGTGATATATCTCACCAAAAATGAAGCATAATTTTGTTTGGGTGTCATCTTAGTTTTCGGATGGATTCTCCTTTTTCATTGCATGGTAAACACTGTTGTTTCTTGGGGTATATTATTACAAAGAATGCACTTTTCACCACTGATGATATCTTTTGCCACTTCTGTTAATGAAAGGGCCCTTTTGCACTTCTTGCAGTGAGGGAGGTTGAGTTTTTACTTTTGTTTTTTTTTTTTTTTTTTTTAGAAAATAAACATAGTACTCAATGGAGTTTGACGTGATAAGTATTGACACTGAAAATTATATTCATAGCTTTTAGCAATTTTTGAGTTCTAAGGATCGCCTGAAAAAATGTACAGGAATACTTTATTTCCACAGGTTTTTGCTTACAAACTGACTTCAAAATTTTACTATTTTAAGAATAAATCCAAATAAACTAGATACATTTTGCATTAAATACATTGAACGGAAAATATATTCAAACTAGAATTCTAATTATGAATCACCATAAGCAAAATATGTATGTTTTTTACTGTATCCAATAAGTGAAAACTGTGTAAAAAAAAAAAAAAAAAAAAAATTTGTAAGAAATTACAAAAAAGGTTACTCAATGAATAAGATTTGTTAGATCCTAATTAATAAAAACAAAAAATACATAAAAGTGTATATATCACCATAATACTACTGGGCAAAAATTATAAGACAAAATATTTAAAATTTGTATTGTCTATTGAAAATCACACTAAAACTACTGCACTGTATAACATATTGCATAATAATATAGGTAAATTGTTCAGTATAATTTCCTTTGAAGTAAACAAAGGGTCTTATTTGATGGCACAATGATTTAGTAATAATGTGCTTGCACCTTGTTTCCTATCCATATACAATCTGTGCAACTTCAGCAGGTAATTTAACAGCTCTTTCCACACTTAGTGAATATGCAGGTAAATTTGGCAATTCCAACATTGTTCTATTCATTAGAACGTCTTGCAGTTCATTATTTGATAAATCTTCTGCAAACGTAAACACACAAACTTCATTTTGTGAGAGGTTAATCAAATCTGCTCAATGTCCCATTAAAGAGTTCATGAAAGAATTTTTTTTTAATCTCATTTTTGCTGGCTTGCTACTTTTGAAACCCAAAAAATAATTTTATTGGAAAATTTACTTATACTTTCTTGTATTTTTGTGATGTAATTTAAATGAAATTTTAAAATTAGTTTTCTAAATTAACATAACTAATTAAGTATGATAAATGTTTACTTATCTAATGAACCAAGTCTTTTTTATAGCTTCTTCCCTCATCTCCATTTCATGTGAGTTCAACAATGAGAAAAGAATATTCTCTGGAAGCAAGGCAAAAGTATTGTGTTGTAAACTTGTTAAGGCAATATTCTATATATTCGGTCGACTGTTGCTTTATTCTCTGGATCATGTTGAAGATATGCAGTTGTTGGTTATGGAATTTATTATCCCTTTTAATTTCAAACCAACTAAATGCATATATTTCAATTATAAACTTTATAACGTTTTCACTGGTCACCAGAATGAAATTTCAAGCTCCAATTTTGTACCCAAAATAAAGACATAATTCATTTCCTAAAAAAAAAAAAAGTAATGATTATGGAAAAAAAAAAATTAATATTTATCATGTTAAACCCCAACTTTCAGATGGTTACAATTTTGTTTCAAACACTTTTTTAAATTTACTCAAAGCTGATATAAAATAATCTGCTAAGAAATGAAAAAAAAAAAAAGAATTACAACATAAAAATTGTTATTTTTATTGTAAATATAATGTAAAAAAATGTAACAGGATTTTTCTTTGATTAATCTATGAGGAATCGCTGAAGAAAGACATTTTCTTTAATGCAATTTTTAAGGAAGTTTCTGTATGAATGTGCGAATATTAATAATTGATTGTAATCTCAGAAAAAAACTTTCTTAAAAAGCATTGCATTGAGGAAAGTCATTTCTCAATGCTCACATAAATTAATCAAAACATCAAACCATAATTTGGCTTTTGTCTTTACTTATAATGCCTTTTTATAGATACACTCTATCTGTAATTTATATGTAATGTATATATATATATATATGTGTGTGTGTATATATATATATGCTAGATTTTTTGTCAGGTTTTTTTCTTTTTCCCTTTTGTTTTTTTTTTTTTTTTTTTTTTTTTCGTTTTTTTTTTTTTTTTTTTTTTTTTTTTTTTTTTTTTTTTTTTTTTTTTTTTTTTTTTTTTTTTTTTTTCCTTTTTTTTTTTTTTTTTCCTTTTTTCCTTTTTCTTTTTTTTTTCCTTTTTCTTTTTTTTTTTTTTTTTTTTTTTTTTTTTTTTTTTTTTTCTTTTTTTTTCTTTTTTTTTTTTTTCTTTTTCCTTTTTTTTCCTTTTTTTCCTTTTTTTTTTTTTTTTTTTTTTTTTTTTTTTTCTTTCTTTCCTTTTTCTTTCTTTCTTTCCTTTTTCTTTCTTTCTTTCCTTTTTCTTTCTTTCCATTGATTGAGCACTTATTGCCTTGGACACTTTATATGCTTTCATATTGTTTTAAAATTTTTCTATATCAGAACCGCTTCTTGGGGATGGTGTGATTCAAAGACGTCCTGTTGAGAAAAAAGAAGCCATCTCAATATTTACAGCTTTTGCTTTACCTGGAGTACTTCCTGTAAGTAAAAGATATTACATTCTATTTTTCTGGCTCTAAAAATTTGTATTTACCTTTTCTAATTTATTTTCTTTTTCTATTTCCTCTTTTTTTCCTTTTCTTTTTTATTTCCTTTCTTCTTTTTTTTCCTTCTTCCTTTTCTTTGAATGTCTTTAAAATTAATAGCATTTCAACTGGTTTAGATATTTCAGCTATCCATCTCCAGATGTAAATTCTTGCCTTCAAAATGTGTTGAAAGCACAAAGGAACCTCAAAATTAAGGTGTACAGTATAACTAAATGGAGTCTTCATCAAAAGAAGACTAGATATGATTTGCATTCTAACATAAACCCCATAATTTAATGAGTTCTTATCATTCTAAGACTTAGTTGCTTCCAAGTCACAACCATTCTGTAGCCTATTATAGATCAGATAAATCCTTTGTATTAGCAGAGAAAACCAGAAAACACCAGAACAATGTTTATAATGTAATTCCAACCATTGTTTCGACTCTTGAGCTCTTCTTTAGGTTGAGCAATTCTATGGCCTCCTTTTAATTGTACAATTGCTGGTGGATGAATAACTTCCAGGAATCAGCATACATTAAAATGAGATTTTTTTTATCTGAATTTTTGGGAGGAGTTCTCATTATTTCCACTGTTTATATGTGAATGACTGTCCTCATATTTGTTGTTGTTGTTATCACAAAGTTTTGGACTTTGTACCTTCCGAACTTCTTCAGGTGTATATTTATCCAGGTAATATACAAAAAATTCCAAACTGAAACCATTATTTAATCTTTTAATCTATTTAATCACCAATTTCACAAACCAACAGTTTAATTGACAAGGTGATTGTCCCGAGTGGATTAAAACATTGCTTCATGAATTTAGTGAACAGTGGAATTTACTGGGCAGCAGAACAAGACAGGATCTCTCTAGAGCTGGGCAGTGGAACAAGAACAGTCTATCCCTGTAGAATTAAAGTGTTCAATTCAGAATTCCCTGTAGGTTAGCCAGATTGATATATACTTGAAGGCCAAAGATGGGGACAATAGTGTAAATCAAGATGACACATATTGTATAGGGTAGGACAATATGCATTTCAGCAAAGATGGAATTGAAAAGCAGCCCCACATTAAAAAAAATCTATATGGAATGACATATGACATAATTTGCTGAAAATGAGTTATGTCACAGTTTCTGGCTATCATTATTACCTGAAATGTGAAAATTTTTCCTTCCAGCTTCACATCTGAAATTGGATTGTCAAAAAAAATTGTAACAACAAAAGCAATTCAATAAGTTCATTTGTCAAAAAAAAAAACTCTTGCAATGTGAACCCTTCTCGGAATTGTAAACAATATCATTTATTGTCAGCTTTTAATCAAATCATCTTTTGACATTTTTTTTTTTTTTTTGTTCTTTGCAGTGTGCCTTGTCATATGCCTGCCTTAAGCTTGTGAATTATTCATTTTTCTTTTGGCTTCCACTTTACATGGGCCGTAATTGGAACCTTCCAGAATCTACAGCTGACAACCTTTCCATTTGGTACGACATTGGTGGAATTATAGGTAAGCTAATTATTCAATTTTTATATTTCCCATTGTCCCTTCCACAGAAATTTGAACCAGTTACCCAGGACATGGATTTTATCTGTTAACATTGGGAGGTGCTTAATGAAGTCCTCTGGTCATACACACATTCACTGGCGTCAGGCACAGAGATCAATACAGTGGTGTAGCTATTTTTTTTTTTTTTTTTGCCCCTGGTGGCCCCTAAGTTTACCACCCCTCCCCAGAAGGAATACAATATTACAATGCACATTAACCCCTTAAAGTTTTTATATATATATATATATATAATAAATTTACTTATTTAAAAATATGGTTCCATCGCTACACAGGAATTACCATGTTTCAAAAACAGAAGCTCAAAACCTCAAATACAATTATAGAATTAAATTAAATTAGAGTCCCTTGTTCTTTCATTTTCAACAAATTTTGGATTAATTAATTTTGAAATTTACTGAGTTTTATAAAAGCACATACATTCATAATATTAATTTCTATGTATATGGGGAAATCCGATCATTTTAACAAGGGGCAGTAAGGTATTCATTTTCACTGACAACTAATTGTATCAAAATATGAGTTACTTTCATTGACTTAACCACTTTTCGAAAGTAACTCATATTTTGATACAATAGTTGTCAGTGAAAAAGAATACCCTACCACACTTTAAGATAATTAGATTTCCCTGTATCCTTAGAAACTAATATTATGAATGTATGTGCTTATAAAACTCAGTAAATTTCAAAATAAGTTAATCCAAAACTAGGGATTTTAATTTAATTCTATAATTGAATTTGAAGTTTTTAGCTTCTGTTTTTGAAATATGGTAATTCCTGTGAAGCGATGGAACCGTATTTTTAAATAAGTAAATTTATAATATTTATGCTCTGTAAATTTGCATTGAGCACTGTTTTGTAAAAATATTTATATGAACACTGAATGATATATCTTACTGTTCTTTCCCTTTATTATAATATATATATATATATATATATATATATAGTCAATGATGAAAATATTTTTATCCATTTCTCAGAATCTAATTGCTGTATGATGCCAGGTTTTTCTATGTTTCTGTTAATGTAGTATATCTAACTCCTCACTGATAAATTATGAAATAAAAGTAAAATTGTGTTTATTTATTTTTTAAAAAATAAAACTGGGGATATATAAAAAAAACAAAGATGTTACTCCTTTTTTCTTTTATAAATCAGGAAAACTTTAAAAACTTTTTACAATATTAAAAGAAAGAACTTGTTTTTGTTTATATACCATCTGTTTTATTTTACAAGAAAAACAATAAACACATTGTACTTTTAATTCATAATTTATCAGTTTTTTTAATATTTATTTCAATTCTAACAAGTGAGGAGCCATAAATTAAATGCCACATTAACAGAAACCAGTTTTGTTTTCTTTTAACAATGGAAAAAATGCAATATCTATTAAAATTATTTTACATATTTGAAGTTATTATTAGCAAAGTAGTAGACTAAGTCCGATAAAATTAATTTTGCTTTTAAAAAACTGAAATGAATGTTAAACTTTTAATTCTTTGTCTATTTTGCTTAATAAAACTTCAATTATCTTAACAAAAATAAAACATTGCATTGATTTACTATCGTGAAAACTTGTAAATTGAAAAAAATGTCCATTTTTGGACTTTAGATAAAAGTTTCTGCACTTAAAAAAAATATATATATTCATTTTCAGTTTTCTTTAAAATTTCTGTTCAATATTTCCAGAAAAAATTGGAATGCATGTGATATCCTTAAAGCATTGGGACTATTTCAATTTATTTATTTATCTATTTTATAATTTATGAAAAGTAACAATTTTATATCCGTATTAAAGCTAGGGCTATGATAAGATAAAACAAACAATTGGTTCACTTATTTATTTAATTATTTTCACTAACATATCACAGACATGAAAAATCAAAATCAAAGAACTTATGCCAAAGTCTGGACTTCTCACAAAGGTGTGAAAAAACTGTGGATTCACTAAATTCATTTAATCCAACCCCACATCAAGCAATTATAAAAATGTTCAAATTTTTTTCACACCTTTTGCTCACATCTTGTAAGTGGGGTTTATCCCCACCAGCTGACAGCACATTTTGGAGACATATTTTTTTTATTTAATGCTGGATGGCTGGCTGGCTTTGAGTCAGACAAATTGGCTTCATTTGAACCTTATCTTCTTCCCTATAGCTGCTTTTTTGCAAAGATTATTGAAATTATACTATTATGTTTTTTTTTTTCTTTTCTAAAAACTCACCATGGAGCAAAAATGGACCTGGGATGGGAGGTTATCATTTATTTATTCTTCGTCTTTGTTTGCAAGATAAATCAGTTTTGGCAGAAAATGATTCAAAAGATATGCCATTAAAAATTCCTTCAAACTGAAAATCATGTTTTCTTTTTCTTCCCACAATGTTTCAGATTTGGCACCTTCCAACCTTCATTAAGTATTTGTTAATCCATGTAACTTTCAAGCAATTTCAAACTGACCCTTTTATTTAATCTATACAGGTAGGTTGTTCTCACCATTCTATCAAAAACAAAACAAGATACCCCCTAGACATGCACAGTGGAATGAGAACAATGTATCCCCCCGAGATTAAATAAAGGGGTCAGTTTGAAATTCCCTGGAGGGTGAAACAGCTGAAAAATTGTGATAAGAGATGAGTCTGAATATATGAATAATTCATTGTCATTATATTCTCTGGATTTTCTGACAATGTGTGATGCCAGTGAAATAACTCTTCAAATGCTTCAGGATAATGATTGTTTTTTGGGGGGGCGGGGATCATTTTGATTCACTGTTTTGTTTGTTTTTTTTTTTTTTTTTTTTTTAATGCTTATTAATTTATAGAACTAGAAATAAACAAATAACAAATGTGGAAATTTTTTCATCTGGGAAGTAATTTATCTAGAATATTTTTTGTGTCTAATTAAAATTTAATCTAATTCAGTGAATTGAACCTAATTTTAATTACAAATAGATGAATTAATAATGCAATTAAAGTGATTACAATTCCTAGAAGTTTGGAAACATTTCAATGCTGAGGCAATTTTTTATAAAGTCAATTTTGTTTTTATAATTGTTTATCATTCTCGTCAAATGATTTTAATCTTTTTGTTTTTGATTGTTTTTATTTAGGAGGCTGTATTGGCGGATATATTTCAGTAAGTCTATATTTTGTCTTTTCTCTCTTTGCTCTAATTTCTTGGACTATAAAAATTTATTAGAAACAAAAAATACAATAAACAATTCCATCAATTTCGCTGGCTGGCTGCTTGTCCTTTTGTCAAAATAGGATGTTAAGAGGTATTCCTAAGGTTCAGGAGATAGAACGAATTCAACATGGATGGTTGCCTCAGCATGGGGTAATGGTTAAAAGCTAGTCTGTTTGCTTGACCATCACTGCTGAATTGCAAGTTTGATCCTCACAGAATGCCCCATACTTGTAGTCTTGTACCAAACTAAGCTAAACTTTGTAATTAAGAATCTGAGATGAAAAAATTACAAAATAAAACAGACAAGAGATTGGATGTGTGGATGGTGTAACAGTGGCTTAGAATGTGAAATCAGAGCTGAGATCGAATTCCAGTCAAGTTCATTCTATTCACTTGGGAAAGGTATAAATCCTTCTTGTCTCCCCCTAACTATGGGTTAAATAACAGGACAGATTGGTTTCAGTAACCTTGGTTGGCAACCATTCTAGTAATTGTTACTCAATAAAAACACCCATCCCCCAGCAGCCTGGGCCACTTGTGGGAATACATTGGTCCATAAAAACATGCAGTGACTGAAATTATTTGGTTATCTGAATTTCACATTCTAATGCAAACAGAGAAAGCATTTCTTATCTCCTCATGAGGTATAATGGAAGTTATTAAGCAACAAAAATGGAGGTGGATGGAAAAGACAGCAAGAAGAAAGGATAACAGGTGGAGCAAAAGCTTGGTTGAATGGTCTCCTTATAGATAACAAATGCAGTAGAAGACCAGATAGAACAGAGATGAGACAAATGGGTTTGCTGGTGAACATTACAGGGATTAGCATAGTTACAGTCAGCATCGGGAAAGGCTTTTGGTTATTTGTAAACTTAAAATAGCGGATGATGATAATTTTTACAATATCTGTCTATATTTCTGAGATGAGGTATTATGTACACTATTTACATTATTCGGACTATCATCCTCAACTTTGTTGTCATATTTATCACAACGTTTCAGCTGTTGTACGCACCAGCCTTCTTCAGGTGGTTGGAATGTCGAACTGAACCTTTTATTTCGCTCGCTGGGGTAGACTGTTCTAGTTCCACATGACATGTCTAATGTCAAGGACACATGGCACAGTGGATAAAGGCATTAGTTAGATCCAGTGACAGGACCCAAAGAGTGAGTTCAATACCCGGTTAAGGCAGTGGAGAACTTGGAGATGGGAATTAACAGGAGGTAACTGATAACTGACATCCATTAGATATGGAACTAGAACTATCTGAGGCCCAAAATAATGATGTCTGGTTATTTGATTAGATTTTAGAAAGTGAGTTGGGCTGACAACCTTTCAGCACACCATCAGATATAATTTCATTTATGTACAAACAAAGTTTCTATAAGCAAAATTGTTGAGTTTCTAAATTTATATGAAGTAAACTACACCCTTGTGCAAATTAATTGAAACAAAGCTAATAATTACATTATTATTTACTTTTTTTTTTTTTTTTTGTATTTTTCCAATGAAACATGAGCCAGTGCACATGTTCATACTTTGTATATACATCCCATGATGTCATTCCTTGCAGATGGACCACAGATTTTCGATTGGATTTAATCAGGAAAGTTTTCAAGCCAGTCTGTAGTACTTTGATTTGCTCACTGGTAAGGCTTGCCAGTGTGTTCATGCAGCATTACAATTTTCGCATACTTCCTTGGAGTAATGTCCATCACAGACAATGGCTATAGGACAACTAATTGAGAGTTGAGACAATAGTGTCTGGGCGTGATAAAAATTTGATGCAATCACGAATGACACAATATTTTTCAAGGCCAAACAAATTTCATCATACATCTTGAAAATAAATTCATATTACTGCACACCAGTGCAAATGGCCTAATCTGAAGCAAAAATAGAAATCGATTACACTCTGTCACTCCAGTGGGTCTAAAACTGACCATATGGTGAAAGAAAGTAAACTAAAGCAATTGTTTCAATTAATTTTCACAAGGGTGTATAGACTAAGTGCTCTTCAGCCTAGTGAATACCTGCTTGTTTTTTGTTTTGTTTTCTTTGTTATTATTAAAATCATTTGACGTATGCATTCTACAGCCTTCTTCAAGTGTACAATCTGTAAAGCAACAGATATCCAGAAATGCTACCAAACAGAAAGGAATTGTGCTAGATCTACTTGTTTGCTTAACTTATTTACAACCACACAGTACACCTGGGGAAGGCTGTAGAATAGATTGGCTGAAATGTAGTAACAAAAAGAACATTTTAAAAGTTAACATATTTAGTTTGGGAAAAAAAATCTGTTTTTCTATTTTTCATTTTTTTTGTGTTGACTTTATAAACAAAATATGAATTGATAAGATTTTAAATATTTTGATATAATTGGTTATTTAAAGAAAATCTTTTATTTCTTTTTGATTTCAGGACAGAATTGGATATCGAGCTGTTGTCGTCTTTCCTATGATGCTTATTTCAATACCAATACTTTACATTTTTAATGGTAAATATAGAAACAATCTTTTCATATTTCCTTTTTATTTTTATTTTCTTTTTTCTTTTCTTTTTTCTTTTCTTTTTTCTTTTCTTTTTTCTTTTCTTTTTTCTTTTCTTTTTTTTTTTTTTTTCTTTTTTTTTTTTTTTTCTTTTCTTTTTTCTTTTTTCTTTTTCTTTTTTTCTTTTTCTTTTTTTTTTTTTTTTTTTTTTTTTTTCTTTTCTTTTTTTTTTTTTTTTTCTTTTTTTTTTTTTCTTTTTTCTTTTTTTTTTTTTCTTTTTTTTTTTTTTCTTTTCTTTTTTTTTCTTTTCTTTTTTTTTTTCTTTTTCTTTTTTTTTCTTTTTTTTTCTTTTTCTTTTCTTTTCTTTTTTCTTTCTTTTTTTTTCTTTTTCTTTTCTTTTTTTTTTCTTTTTTCTTTTCTTTTTCTTTTCTTTTCTTTTCTTTTCTTTTTTTTTTTTCTTTTTTCTTTTCTTTTCTTTTCTTTTCTTTTCTTTTTTTCTTTTCTTTTCTTTTTTTCTTTTCTTTTCTTTCTTTCAAGTTCTCATATTTTCTGGTATTCTCCCATCTCAAGGATTTTGATTTACAAAATCATGAGGTAAAAAAGAAAAATGAAATTTAAGTAACCTTGAGCTTATCAGAGAAAGACTAAATTATCCAGACTATTTTGTGTTAGTAGGCCGCATAATATCTTCAACACCAGCGAAATAACTGTATTATAAAAGTCTGGTTAAAGTACTTTTTTTTTTTTTTTTTTCAATATTTTTTCAGATTAAATTGAAAATATATTTTGCCCCATTTAATTTTTGTTGTTTTTTTTTTAGCAGCATATCAACACCTCTATGGGTTATTTAATGTTAAAATCTAAATATTTTGAACAAAATTTTATGCCTTCAACTACAAATAAAATGTATTTTTGGTCATTTTACTATATAAATAGATATTATTGGTTATTTTTTTTTTTTTTTTTTTTTATAGAAAAAATGTATTGATATTATTTTTATCCTTTCATAGTGTTTTGCTTTTGTTTGGGGATTCACTATTTACCCATAGCTGGAACCCTAACAGGTGCTACTACCCCAGGTCAGGATGGACCTAGGAACAACTGCAATTAAGTGGTCGTTCCATGATCCTCAAGACCTCCAATCTCCTGATCAGTGGCCTTACTGCTGGATGTAGTTTATCGTCATACCCATTTAAACTTTGGAGTTTTGAACAAAGAGTTTTTTCTGAGACTGAATGTGCTTGAATAGAATAATTAAAATTTGACTGAAATAAGATTGCAAAGAATCAGTTAAGAAAATATTTTTAAAAATTATCTTGAATTAATTTACATGAGAATTAAATCTGGGTTAATGCAATAAAGTTTATAGATTATGACCAGTTAGTGTTTCTACCTAATGAAAGTAATCAGTGGCAATTGGATAAACTGTTGGAAAATAAGATAGAAAGAATCTGCACTGATAACTTGATCAGTAGACCAAGCACAGACATTAATACCTTGTGTGAGTGATACAGAACAAGTGATGAATTCATGATTCCAGAGGCAAGACCTGAGACATTAAGGGGTCAGTGAAGTTTATTGGGTACATGAAAGGTCATGTGTTTAGCACAGAGACTAAACAAATGTAATGGGTATGAACAAGAAAGTGTATGGCATTTCAGAACAGATGCCTGAAGGTTACTTGGCCAAAACATTATTCTGACTCTAGTACATATAACAATATAACATATTTTAGTAGCAGCAGATAGCTTTAAATGTGAAATTGCAAAGTTTGGGTAGAGAATGTAGAAGTGATTGTAGCAACAGGGAAAGGTTGGTCCAGGATTTGTTAAAGGTTACATTTTGTATTGTGATTTAGGTTCCTATAGATCACAATACAATGCTGGACTGATAATTGTGTAGTGGGGGTATACACAGCTTTAAAAATTGTGTGGTGGGGTCAGAGGTAAAACAAGAAGTTAAGAATTGAAGAGTTACAAAAAATCTATTGCTACCAATGGGGAAACTGATTTCCTTCATTTTATACGGTTTTGTATTTTACAAATAATATAAGGCACATGGCTTGACTTTTGTAAATAAAATTTTGTACTTTTTTGATGACTTTGAAAAAGATTTAAACCAATTGAACTTGAGATGGCAAAATTGACAACCAGACTAAGAAGGCCTTCTGGATATGAGGAATTGGTTACAAAGTCCGGATATGAGGGGTTATATTTAGATTAAAATAAAAGAACTGAAATCAGGTTTAACATTTATTTTCAATGTTTTATAGTAAACAAAATAAGCTAATATGCGATACATGCTCATTTTATTTGTTGCCTCTTTTTAACCACCCAAAACAACACATGTGTTTCCACTGTCTTGACATAACCTAGATTTGTTTTAAATTTATATTGAGGCTTTAAACAAAGTCCATCAATTTTTACAATTTTCAACTTGGCTTATTGATTTCAAGTGACTTTCCTGTTTGGGTGAAATCGTACTGATGACATTATAAGGACATGACATATTCTTTTAAACACACACTTTTTTATTTAATATTGGTCTCCCAATGCAAAGGCCTAAGAGCCACTAAAAGCAGAGGGTTGTTAAATTAGGTTGTTGTAAGGGGCTACAAGGAGAGAGAGGCGAAAATAGAAAGAAATAGCTAAGTTTTTAAAAGTGTGAGAAAGGGAGAGAGAGAAAGAAGTGAGAGAGTAAAGTAAAAAAAGAAAGGGCAATGTCTAAAAAAAACGCAAAACTGAAATATTTTTTCAGTATTGATTTTCTTTTTTTTAATTTCTCAGAAGAATGGTTAGCATAGGCCATAGTAAGGTTAATCCTCTCTGAGTGCTCTGCTATTGTCCTTATGCCAGACTAAACTATATTTAATAATTATTTAATAGTACTTGCCATGCATTAACAATCTCCATAATAGTCATCGGTTAAAAGAGCATATTTAAGAAAATCAAAAGTTAGATATTAAAATATATAAGTAATATGTTGATCTATTAGTTTTTTTGTTTTTTGTTTTATTATTTACATTATTCAGACTGTTATCCCCATTGCCATATTCACAACATTTCGGCTGTTGTATGCTCCAGCCATCTTCAGGTGATTGGAATTTCAAACTGAACCCTTTATTTCGCCCACTGAGGTAGATTGTTCTAGTTCCACAGGCCAGGCCTCTTTCAGATGTCTCAGTTATTTCTCTTAAACTCAACTCTCCAAGTTTTGGTTCACCACTGCTGTGGCCTGGTATTGAACTCGGAACTCTTTGGGTCTAGTCACTGGATCTAACCAACGTCTTTATCCATAGGGCCATGTGTCCTTGAGATTTTTTTTTTAGCATTTTGACTAAAGCAGTAATTTTTATCTTTCATGCATAATTGATAAATTTGTCGTCATTCATGTACTTTTGATTTGTTTGATCTCTTTTTTTTATTTTCCTTTCAAATATCCATACCTTATCTACAATTGATTATTAACTGAATACAGTAATTGCAATAATTCTTACCTTGTCTTACTCTAAAAAAAAAAAATACAATTTTTTTTTCTCTCTTTTTATATAGTTATTTCACATCCCCACACATGGTTGATAATTGTTCTCCTCACAGTGGGAGGATTTTTTATTGGAGGAGCTTCAAACTTAATCAGTTCTGCCATCTCTGCTGATTTGGGTATGTTATTTTTCTTGTATGTGTATGTTATCTAACATATTCATCAGAATGTTTTATTTATTTTTAATCTCCTTCATGACGTACCCGTGTTTCTATGCGTTTCGTATTACTGTAAATGTCATTCTTAGTGGGTCCATGTGTGTGTTTGAATCGCTGTGCCTACCTTTTTTATTCTCGTTAACAGTGAAATTAATAACAATCAACCAAGATGAAGAAGTCTTATGAAGGCCAACTTTTATTAATTTTGCTGCTCAACCCTAGAACACTAACCCTCAATTAAAGTTACACCACTACTAACCCTGGCTATATCATACCCGATTTTGAAAATATCAAAAAAAACTATTAAATATAAATCTTTATTCGAAATATTTTACAAGCAGTCACTTCAAACTTTGTACTTTGAGTTAACATTAATAGGAACTGAGAAACATATTATTTAGGTAAAAAAATCAGGTACTGAAAATTGTAATTAAAAAAAAAAAGGAAATTTGCACTGGGTACTATATACCCATGGTTAATGTTCTAGGGTTAAGAAAATAAACAGAGGTTGCAACTCAAAATGTTTACCCACTAAAAATAACATTAATAGTAATCTACAAATCTACCATTCATCCATGCATGGAATACTGTTGCCATATATGGTCTGGTGTCCCTGCTGTTGATCTCTACATTCTTGACAAAAAATCCAAAGACAGATATGAAATTTGATTGGTCCTGACTTAGGGTCTTGACTCCAATCACTTTCTCATTGACATAATGTAGCTTCCCTCTGTGTTTTCTATAAATATTTTCATGGCATCTGCTCTGACAAGCTATTTTCATTGGTGCCCCGACTGCACTAAGCATGCTACTAGGTTGGCATCTCAGTCCCACCACTTTACTGTTGAAAATGTTAAATGTAACTGCCACTTCTACTCCAACAGCTTCTTCTCTTGCACTTCCCAACAGTGGAACTCCCTTCTTCTTACTTGCTTCCCTGATAGCTATAATCTTCAAAAATTTAAGCGTAATGTCAATCGACATCTGATGTCTTGATCTTGATCCCCATCCTTCTCTTTGTTCTTTCCTCAAACACTCGTCTTTACTCTTACATTCATTCTCTGTAACCCATTGTGTACTAGTGGCACTCCCGCCTCACTTGGGGTGAAATGTTTAAAAAAAAATTTTAAATAATGTTGGATTAAAAAAAAAAACATTTAAATAATAAACCGCTACATAAATGCAATCATGTTTCAGCACTGTGTATGTCTATTCAGATCACCGCCTGAGGAGACACACAGTGTTGAAACATGATTGCATTTATGTAGTGGTTTGTAACATTTTTTTGTTATAATTATCAGTAAGTATTATTATTATCAAGCTCTTCACTGTATTGAGCACTTTTTTTTTTGTCTGTACATTGGTACTAAGCTACCTCACATTTGGAGATATATATATATATATATATATATATATATATATATATATATTAAAAGTGTGTTCTGATACTGATACTGAGAAGAATTATTTTCCACACACCAACCTCTCTCTGACATGCAGGGTGTGGCATTATCTCTCACTGCTCTATCACTACTACCATGGAAAGTGCTCAGATGAACTGCATATCCTGGTTACACCAGATCTGACCTTAATGGCTAGGATTCGCCTTACATAACATATATCACTGACATTGCCTCTGTATTTCATCAGTGAGAACAGCAGCTTCTTCCCGCAAACCACTGCCCTCTTAAACGGACTCCCAAGAGGATGTTTCCCTGATCACTACAATCCTAACTAGAATCAACCATTATCTTCTCCCTCCTATCCATATAAATTACCCTTTAATGTAATCCTCTAACTCGAGTGGGCCACTGAAAGGTTTGTTTGTTTCTTGTGATTTTTGCTGGGGAGAAAGAATAATTTCCCCAGGACTTGACAATGTAATTCTTGTAAAACCTGTTCCTGGCAAAACCTGGAAGGAATTCTAAACATCTGAGGTGATATCAAGGTGAAACGTACTGCAAAAAAAAAAAAAAAAAAAAAACTGTATATAATATTATATGAAAAGATTACTTAACTTTTAAATATCAATTTTTCCCGACATCAATGTTTCTTGGTTAAATTTCCAGTCTTCAGGGGTTGTGCATTTAATTGGTATTTGCAATCTTTTTTTCAATTTAAAAAAAAAAAAAAAAAAAAGAAGAAACATCAATGTTGGGATAAAATTGATATATTTTTTAATCTTTTTAATATTTTAATATTAATTCTCTATTTTAAAAATATTCTTTTTAAATCTTTTTTATATATATATATATATATATATATAAAAAGAGTAAACATTGAAGTCAACACTGAGTGTTTACTTCAAGGTTCCATAAATATACACTTTAAAACGATATTTCTTCACACACACACACACACACACACACACACACACATAATTATATAATTATTCTCGTCTGGAAAAACCTTAGTTATTTTGGCTTGTAAATGAACAAACCAATGCCCAAGGAAAAATAAGGGATAAAAAAAAGTAAGAACTAAGAACATGTAATTCAGGCGAAAACAATCATGCAGAATTCAAGCTCAGTGTCCAAAGAAAAAAACCCTCCAAAACGAGTAAAGCAAAAATAACTAAGTGCTCAATACACTAAGTAGAGCAAATCTAACTATGCCAGGTAAACCTACCTAGGTTTCACCTACATGGATCATCAGGTATATATATATATATATATATATATATATATATATATATATATACACACACACACAATTCTTGAAAACATGAATTGCATCATAAAATCTGATTTTGTGTAGTTCTTTAATACTTTCGTATATGCAATTATTTAAATTACCTTAAATGCTTTGTAATCCAAATCTCTGCTAATTAATTAAAATTATCCTTTTAATAAAAAGAAAAGCTTTATTTGTCTGTTCTGGATGAGGAAATCACGTAAATATTTGATTCTCTTAACATTTCCTGAAGCAACTGTTTATGCCAATATGGTATGTTAATCTCAACTGTAATTTTCTAACATTCTCTTCTGGACTAACACTTTCTTTTTAATAAATCACATGTCCCTTCAGGATGCAAGTGATCATGGCTCTCCACAGCTTCCATTTCCATATTATTTGAAATTATCATTACGACTTAAGAAATATAATGGAATGTTTTCTCGCCATCATAGGAAACCTTAAATAAGTGGTTAGATAAGAATTCATTTTGAAATATTTTGACACTTATGACCTTTATATAACCATCAATATGTCATGAAGTTTGAAGCTTGAATTAATGACAACAAGAATCTACTTAAAAAGAATTTAATACTATATGACCATTATGTAGCTGTCAATGTGCCATAAAGTTAATAATTTAAACATTTACAAATCATCTTCTTGTGTGTATAAATATTTTTCCACAGATCCCAGATTGGATCTATTGATTTTTACATAATTGAAAATTATTTTCGCTTTTTAAAGGTCAACAAAGGAAGTTAAAAAAAAACAAGAAAGCTTTGGCAACCGTCACTGGCATCATTGATGGCACAGGAAGTTTTGGAGCAGCTGTTGGTCAAGTAAGTTATTCTTCCAAAATAATTAATCTATCATGTAACAAAAGTAAATTTAATTCTTATCTCAGGTGGTTGTTGTTGCTGTTGTATATAGCAAATAATGAATTTATGTTCACCATTACAAAAAAAATATCTTTACCCTTTCCTTATTATAAATATAGATGAATGGATAGAGAGAAGAGATCAGTTTTAGATCTTATCAAAGATCAATTCTGAAGTAAATTTCTGGAGTGTATTAGCAATTATATGATTCAAATAACAGTAATAAACAATTTCAGTTAACTCCAAGGGAAAATACAATCTACAGCAGGAAGTAACTCCTGAATATTTCAATCAAGAGTTAGGGAGTTAATTGATACAGGGACAGTCAGTTCGTTTCACTAAAGAATCAATTTCCCCAAACTGAAAAATAGTCATATTCTGAATAGCATTCAACAAATTTGGCAAAGTTTCTTTGGTAAATCATTAAGCACTCCAAATACAGTGGATGATGGATAAATTGTCAGATAAATTGTCATATAAATTGTCAGATAAATTGTTACACAAAAATGAAAATAACACTGACATCTCATTTTAACAGATATATTTATCAAAATTATGAAAAAATATCTTTAAATACTAAAGAGTAAATTTATTCAATAAAATCACCATTGACTTCTACCACAGCTTCAAGACTACTTTGAAATCTCCTGCAACTTTTCTGGACGATCTCCTTGTTTATGTTGGTGAATGCTGTCATAATCCTTGTTTTCAGTTCAGCTTTGGTGTTACAAGAGTTGGTCTCTCGCTCAACTGTGCCCCACACATAATAATCAGTGGTGTTGCAGTCTGGGGAGTTAGGTGGCCAAATGTGAAGGGTGATGTGGTCGCAGAAATTGTCTGACAGCCATGACAGGGTTCTCCTGCTTGTGTGGCATGATGCAGAGTCCTGTTGCCAGCTATAAGATCATCCAGCAGCCACCCTCTTGACCCAGGGTAGCACTACCTCCTCGAGGCACTTGATGTAGGTCTTTGTGTTAAGTCTAAAGCCCTGTGGAGGTATAACATCACCCTCATTATTGATCACTCCAAACACCTTTGTAATCACCATTAGACTCCTCCAACCCTTTCGGAATCCTCTGCACTGCCCTCAGATTGACACCCAAACATTCTGAAATGTTTTTATTGGAGTTTCCAGTGCGAATGCCAAGCAGTACAGCAAAGTTTCCAAAGTTCTTGCAGAGTGAATTACATCATGGTGCTCTTTTTCTCACAGATGGTGCCCAACTGACCCTACTATGCTGTGTAATCAACAAAATCGCAAACAAACGACACACATGCGCAAAATTAAGAATAATCATTCGATTTTAGAGATCAGTATGAAATATGGTACTTAAATACCTTGCTTGTTTTTATCTAAACAATGGCATGGCTACATTTGATAGTTGGATCTGGAGACTTTAAGACCTGCACAGTCCTACAATGAACAACATGCTATTAACTCAGTTAATTAACATCTTTTGCATAATTCCAGCCAATGTTGTCAACAATAAAAGTTTACAGACAAGAAACTCTGTATTTTGCGACTCATAGAAAGGGAAACGAGAAACTATTTTGTGTATAGGAGAGAGGAGTAGGGAAGATAAACCATTTAGTGTGTGAGGAAGAGGAGATGAACATGTTTTTTGTTTTTTTTATAGGAAAAACTCTTGAAAACTATATTCTTCTCATTAATGCTGTTACACTTATCAGTAAGACAGGAATGTAGATAAAAGCATAGTCAACTAAATCTGTAGGTTGATATGCAAGCAATAAAAATAAGTTTAGATGACAGTCAATTGTAGCCTCTAAATCATAGAGATAAATAAATTAATTCAAACTGACTTTTTGATATTCACTTGTGTATTTTTCCTTCATTACCTAAGTGCAACTTTTACTGACTAACTAGAAACACAGTGAGTTAAAAATATTATAATTGGTCTTAATTATTATTCTACTGTCAAAAGCCAAGACACAATTTAAGGAAAGGCTGACAATTATTCACAAAAATAAAACTAATATTTCAATCATAATTTAAGCAGGTTTGTTTGTTTCTTGTGATTTTTTGCTGGGGAGAAGGAAAAATTTGCCCAGGAGTTGACAATGTAATTCTTGTAAAACCCGTTCCTGGCAAGATTTGAAAGGAATTCTAGACTTTTCAGGTGATATCTGTTTGAGCAGAAATCTTGGAAGGTTTTCCAAAGTGGAATGGAGAACTTTCTTCATATCTTTTGAACAAAATGAGTTTTTATGTTGTTTCCTCTAACTATGGACATCAGGCAATGCCCTTATTTGATGTGTTGTCAGAATTTGTTAAATTGCAACCTCAACTCATTACATCTCAGTAAATTGCAAATTGGGGGGAAAAAAATGATGAAAATAACTTTTTTTTTTTTTTTTTTTTTTTTTCTTGGCTTGAAAAATAGACCAGAAAGGAAGTCACTGATTTTTTTTTTTTTTTTTTTTTTTTTTAAATCTTTGAATTGATCCTGGCTAATTTAATTAAGTAATGTGTTTATCACTTGTTGTTCTGTTATTTTTTTTGTTTTTTATTTATTTTTTTTAAACCCTTATTTCTTATTGATTTTGTTATTTCAGGTGGGCCTTCCTTACATTGAAGTCGGCTATGGATGGAAATGGGTGTTTCAGATGTTTATTATAACTGTACGTATCTTTTAAACATTTTTTAAATTTCTTTTCATAACACCAACTTGAAATCAAATAATTGCAATCTACATGCAAAAATTACTGGAGGTGAATGTATCCTCACTACAGTCATAAATAACTCCTTAAGATTTGAGAATGATTGAGTTTATATACTGGTGTTTTTCTCTGTATTAATGTTTATGTCAGTGGTTCCTGAATAGTGCAGCAGAAAAGGATAGTAGGTGGGGCGGAACGATTGAAAGACAATTGAAGATTTAGAAACAGTTTGAAAAAATTCATATGCCAAAAATAAATATGATTTCAAAATTTAAAATATTATTATGGATTACTTGTAATTGCATTCATGAATCCCATCATCAATAGTTTTAAATAATTATTGATCGCTTTTATCATTGTGATATTTTTGCATTATATCAAGTATTAAGAATATAGTAACAAGGTTCTGCAAATTGGAGGAGAGAGTTATCAATGATAATGTTCTGACTTCGAATCTGCAGTTATCCCCCTTTAACCGTCTCTCTCTTTTTTTTATTTTTAAATGTACTTTTTATCATATAAAATTTGAGGTGCGAGCAAATTTTAATTCTGAAAATGCAGCCCAGAGAAAAAGAAATTTGGGAAGCACTTCTTTATGCTAAAGCACCTTTATTCTTGTCAGCACTGAAAGTTTTTGCATCAAATTTTTCTTTTCCAGTGTGGAATTACTGCTTTGTTTTTATTACCAATTGTCCACATGGAGTACAAGGAATGGCGTTATGGTATACCTGAAGATGAGGATGAAGATAATGAAGACAAAACATCTCCAGCAACTGCACCTACTCCCATAGACTATTCTTTGCCACCACCATCATATGATGAAATCTCTTGAAATCTTGCTTACAGACAGAAAAGGATAAAGAAAACAGAAACAATTTCAAAGTATAAAAGTGATCTTTTCACAAAAAAAAAAAACAAACATTCTTTACAGACATTTTTAACAAAATGAAACTCTAACAAATGTCTGTGTGTAAAAATACTTAATGTGAGATACTAAAAGCGTCTCACAAACTTATTTTTTATTTTATATTTTATAAATTTATTTATGGCAATATAAATTTAAACATATAGTGGGATGTATATTTATAAAGTTTTCTAACAATCAATTACATTTCAAATACACTGTATATATCAAAAAGTAATTTTTGAATGGATTTTTTTATCAAACATTATTTCTTAGTGGGGGGGGACACATATTTGAGTTTCTATCCCATCAAAAGTAGGTCATCTCAATCTAGGCCAGTTGTTTTTAAGTTCACTGTTTTAAGAAGAAAAAACGGATAGCAACTCAAATACGTCTATTCTCTAAAAAAAAAATAACGCTTATTGTATTATGGAATATAAATAGGTGTATGCAATTTATAAAATATCGTCAACCCTCTCTCTTTTGCTATGCTTATCATGCAGTGTGTTGAAAAAGAGAGTGTTAACTGTATAATGCATACAATATATTCGATATACACGTGAATTTTATGTAAATATGTCATATGGCATAATTTAGATGTATGTCTATTGGAAATGAGTTGCATCATGTTCCATGTGGAAAAATAGTATGTAATTTCTTCTTTGCGAGCTTGGATAACCAGAAGAGAAGTAAAGAATAGAAAATATGAAAAATGTCCCACATCTATTCACGCCATCAGCAGAATGGTCAACCAATCCACCCCGTTGTTGTTAGATACTCTGACAATAGCCTTGGTAGCCAGGACCCCCACCCACCCATCAAATTAGTCTTCATCTTAGTTGCTTCTTCATTTCTCTGTTACTAAGTAATTTTCTTCCCCACCATGTTGGATAATGGTTTAATATTAGTGCAACATAATGAGTGTTGGCTTTTCATTAAGAGAGAAAATAAAACCCAATCATTATATAATGATTATATATATATATATATATATATATATATATATATAATGATGATAAAAGAATCATAAAAAGTTATGAAGAAAATATTTAATTGTGTTGTTCACTTCTCTTTGTTGATATTTTCCAAGTTTAGCTTTAATATAGCATAAATAAATGCAGTTTCATTGAACTCACTACAGTATTAATAGTCTTCTACACACACCTAGCCATACCCAGTGGGTCTTGTGTAGGCATGGTTTTCTGCTGCCCATCTTACAAGATATCATTTCTGGTTCTGAGCCTAATAAGGAGAGCTTCTCAAAAAATATTTGAAATAATTTTCCTGACATGCAATCTGATGCATCGACTTTTCCTTCTCTTTGTTTTTTTTTTTTTTAAAACTTTGTCTTTCAATGTTCTACAAATTGTCCACCATACCTGACCTGCAAATACAGTGAAAGATTTTTTGTTCTTTATTTTTTTAATGGCAAACTTAATTGTTATTCTCTGTGTGTGCGTGTGTGTGTTCATCTTTTACATTTATGCACATGCATGTACACAACAGGACGTTATTGAAACTAAAGAACGTTTTCAATTTTGATGAAATTATTATCTTGTGAAAAGTTAATTGATGAAAAAGCAAAAGTGGTTTTAAAAAATGTTTAATGGCTTTATGAAATTGCTGCAAACCTGATCTGTATTTTTAATGAGTTTCTGCATATTTTAAATTAATTTCTGCTGTGAACTACTCATTTGATAATTACTTCAGGTTTTTAATTAATTTTTTTTTTTTTTAAGTTAAAGAAGGCTTTGTAGAATATAAATCTTTTTTTATTTTATTTTCTTTGCAAGAAGTTTCCATCTGAACACTAACATATTTATATACACAGCCTCAGTTTTGTAATTGTTGTTTGTGTATGTAAAATATGTATAAATATAAAAATTATGTTAATAGATTATATTTTGGAGATCTATTTTTGCTTTTTTGCCACAAAAATATTTGAATTTTACTTATTGTATTATTTTTTTACTTACCAAGATTATTAGGTTTTTGTAAATTGATGGATACAGTGGGCCAATAGTATTTTACTTCTTTTGATTATTTTCTTTGTTTTATTAAAACAAACGTGTAGCCTATGTCAGGTCTTCCTCTTCTCTTTCCTTACAACTGCCTGTTTCTACTACAAATACAGTAAAACACTTTTCACATTGTTTGTTTTTTATTTCATCTAAACCCAACAACCTAAGGATCTAAACCATTGAACACAAATGTGTTATTTTAGGTTATATATATATATATATATAAAACTAGCCTAAGAGCCACACTCTATCTGGATATTTTAAGTGAGCTCCTGCAGATGGCTAATTGGGCCTCCATCCTAAAAGGACCTCTGGTCCAGCTTAGAAAACAACCAATGATGATTATGAAGAAATAACTTTGAATTCCTCAATTCATTCCATGGCACTTCAAAACCTCACTAATTCAAGCTATAAGTCCAATTCAGACCAAAAGTATGATTTGGGCCAAAATTCCAATTCAGGCCAAAAATTGAGTTCAAATTACAAATTCTGTGGAACTTTGAAACCTCTCAACTTTAACTCTATTTCCTTGGCATTTTGAAGAAATAAAATTGATTTTCTCAATTCACAAAGTTTTAAAGAAAAAATGAAAACAAATTTAAAAAATTCACAAATTTTTTGTTACTTTAACTCTATATAAACTAAAAACTTCTAAAGTCAGTAATTTTTTTTTCAGTTATTTTAAAAATTTGAATTTTTAACTGTTTTGTCCTCATCTGGACATGAATCCCAATACTGGATGCTTAAGCACCAGATGAAGGTCAGATTGTTCAATTCCCAGATCATCCTGATTCCAAAAATGTATATGTAGATCAAGTATGGCATGAGTTTAGAGGAGTTTCAGACACATGGAGGGACAGACAGAATTTGCCGTTTTATTTAGATAGAAGATAAAAATATCTGGCAATTTTGGTAAAAGATAAAGCAATAAGTTAAATCAGTGACAACGTTTTTGAAGAATTCAAGGCTTCATTCGTTTCTTTTCAAATCTTTACACAAGTTTTGAAACATCAACTTTTAAGCAATATCATTTTCTTCTGCAAGATCAGGATTTGAAGTATTTTTAAAAGACTTTTAACATAAAAATGATCTCTATCAATTGGATAAAAGAAAATTTACTCTTTCTTATAAAAGATGAAAGATTCTCACCATGGCAAGAAATATGTATATATGTAAATATTAACAAATATGATTTTTTTTTTCCTTGTATAGACTGGAATGACTTTTGTATATTTCAAATATTTTTTCAAAAGTTGTTATCTGATATTATTAAAAGAAAAACCAGCTTAAATAATTTTCATTTCAACCATTGCAAGGTTTTACTTTAAGCTATTCTTAAAACAACTGTTTAAAATAAAAAGATCAAATAATACAGAAATCTGAATTCTCTTTTTGTTCCTATTACAATGTGTAAACGCTTTCAATGGGACTTTCATTTAATGTTTTCAAAGACTTCTGCTCAGTTTTTGCCTTTGAATTCATAGATCATATTATCCTTGACTTTTTTTTTTTTTTTCTTTCCCTTCCTTAATAAACTATCCCATCTTTTAAAATAATTATTTGTCCAACTGCTTAGTATGAAAATTTTCAGTAACTGTCTTGAACTAAAAAAATGTTTGAATCAAATGAGTTGAGAAAAGAATAACGCAATCTATTCCGAAATTATTTTTTTAAATTTTGGTAAAAACAAAAATTTCATTTTCAAAAACTCTTTATTTTTATTGACTTACACAAAATGTTTAGACTTTGTAAAAGAGGCTCGGAATAAAATCTGTTTCATTTTCATTTTGTCACCTACAGATGCCTTACTATCCACTAATTATAAAAATCTTTTCATTTAACCATTTTTTTCTTAATCACGTCCTTGATTTAGTGACACAAGCAAATATCCAGTTCCTGTTGTCGTCATCATCATCAATTAAATGAAGCTGTTAACAATTATTGGAGATAAGTGGTAGCAAATTTCAAATATCCAGTGTTCCCATTAACTTGACCAGTTGGGGCCATATTCTATCCAGTCTAAATTTTTCCTTTTTGATCTCTAATTGGTCCAATATCTTTGCAACTTTTTCCAGTGACCCTGTTGGCCCCATGCAGGGTTTTTGATACTTATGTATTTTCATTGTCTGCTGGAATGGTCATCTTTTAAGCAACCTGTTTATTTTATTTTATTTCAAGATCCTAAATGAAATATTTCTCTGGAACATTTTTTTTTTTTTTTTTTAAACGTCCTCATCAGCAGATTTAAGATGGATTTTATTTTATCACTTAAAAAGAAATTGAATATGATTGCTTTAATGTGACATTAATGCTTGTATTATATTTGTTTCAATTCATATTTGTGGGGATCTTGATTCAATCAAATAATCATTAACCATCTTCCATCAGCACCAATTCTAAAACTTCTGGCAGTGAGCAGGTCTCACAGGCTATTCATAGTGATTTTAGTCTCCAAATATGTCTGTGCTGAACCATAAGTCCTCTTAGTAAATATCTTGAATGTCTTTCACTTTTGGTAATTTTGGGAAAAGTTAGGATTCATATTCCTCACTCTCTCTAAAAATATATATATATATATATATATATATATACACACACATTTTAACAAAGTCCACTCTGATTTGATTTCCACTCCCCCACCCCACTTTTTTATTGATTTTCTTCCATCTGTGTCTTAGTTTTATTTTCATTTTTCTAAATTTTATTTACATCTCTTTCTTCTTAGAACCATTCTTCTTCTTCTTCTTCTTCTTTTCCAAACAAGTGTCAGCCAAAAATAAAGTTGTCGACCTTATCTGCGTCATACACAAAGCAAATTTCATTTCTTTTAAATATCAAAACAAAACAAAGGATTTTTATAGAAAACTTAAAATGCAATTTGCTTTACCTGAAAAAAAATCTACAATG